CAAATCCCTTGAGTTTTCTTGCCACATACGACATGCAACTGAGTTCACCTTTCAAACTCTCAGTAAAGAATATCCAAGAAAGACGCTATAATTAGAAAACTTTGCATCTTTGATAATTCACACATGCCTTGGTTGAATAAATGTGCTTCACCATAGTAATCTTAGGTTATCTATATCTCATGCGGAAAAAGATATCAAAAGAAAAACTTCACCTACTTTTTCTCTTTTCCATGTCCTCAAGATAATCAGAAGGCTGCTTCATCCCGGTACAAGCAATAAAAGATTCCACAGTTTCTTTAAAGCAATTGTGCACAAGATATGACATAACAATGTTGTGGATGTCATTGTCATTGACTGCCTGTAAAAGACGTATGGAGATGGAAGCCCCAAAATGTAAGAAGATAAGGCCATTGGAGGGACATAGCTATAACATAGATGAATCAATATTATCATTCTGGTGCTCCGTTGTCAAAAAAGAAGAGGAAGAAAAGGAGTCCATAAAAAATCAGATAATTCATCAAAACATGACTAAACAAACTATAATGACTGAAGATGGGGAATGATATTTTAAGTTGTAACACCATATGCAACAGCATTAGAGTTACATCACCCTATAAATTATTGCTACCAGAAGCAGCTGAAACAAAGGTAACTTGCCTGATTCCACAATAGTACCCAAAATCATGAAACGAGGTAAAGACTTAGATGCAAACTAGATCAAACAACCCCAAAAGCTACATTTCCTCAAAATAACCTTCAACCAAGAGCTACACTTAGAAGCAATTAACTTTTCAAATGAAGGTTCAAAACTTGAACCCATGGAAGAGCACTAACCTTCCAAACAAAAAGTTGACCCCTAGAGTCAAAGTTTTACTTGCTTCCATGATTTATCAGACAAAAATAACTAGATCCTTACTTATAGATTCTATTGCAAAACCAAGCATGCATATATAATATAACCAATACTTATTCCAGAATCCACAAATACAGAAATGTACTTGAAATCAATTTGACCCAAAACATAAAAACAAATAACTCAAGCCCTAACGAATTCCCATAACCGCAATAACTACCCAAATTCATGATTATGATAAATCCGTACGAACCTAATAAACTATCAAAAACTAATTAAACTGCATAATTGCACAATACCCTAATTTCATATCATACAAATATAAAGAGAGAGATCAGGCTTTGGTATTCGAGAAAAAAACAAAATTTCCAGCAACAAATGCTATAAACCAAACACATTCAAAGCATCAAACTACACTTGCAAAGATAATTCAAATTTCAACACTTCACAACTGATATAAAAGGGGCAGGGTGAAAGGTCAAAAACTTACAAGGTGTTCGTACTGACGAGGATCAACGTCCATGATTGGGCAGATTACGGGAACTGAAGCTTTGGGTTTTGGTGTTTGAGAAAAAACAAAAACAAATAAAAGAGAAGGAGGTTGGTATGGTCGTTTCCGTGGCGTTATCTCAGGCCGCACGAAGAAGGTGATCTCTGTAACTCTCTCTCTCTCTCTCCCCTTTTTTGTGTTTTTATTACTTTTAAAAAGGGCAATGTAAAAATCATAAATCCGATAGAATTGTCATCGCTTTTGGGTACACGTGCCTTTTCTAGAGTTCCGGTGTTTCCATAGCTAAAGGGTACTCTCCCCTGCCTCTGCCTGTCTCCTTATCGTTCTGGTTTAATGTAAAAAATGAACTTTAACTGCTGCTAGTAGTAGTAACATTTTTCAATTTTTCTAAATATACCTCTATTTTTTAATTATTTCTACATAAACCCTTATCTTATGATTTATGCATGTATAAATTCAAGCTGAGGTCATTTTTTTTACACATAATGAAATTGACTGAATGAGAAATTTGCCTCCTAAAAACATAACCATTTCAATTGATTAATTTCATTGTGCTAAAAAATCATATTATCTGTCATAAATGTGAAAATATGTAGATTAATCACTAGTTTAACATCCGTTAAGATTACTTGTCATGTGGTTTTTTTTTCTTCAATATAAAATTTATATGATTAAAAATTATAGAATAAAATTTTATTTAAATACAATAAAAATATATGAATTTTTTTAAGAAATTTAGATTATTTAAGAGTTTATTTATATTTTAATCTATAGTTATAATTGAAATTGAGTAATAAATTTATAATTGATTCATAAAAAACAAAAAATAAGGGATTTATTCAATAAGTAAACCTTGCTTTTTAATTATTTGTAATTGCACACTCAAAAAGACAATGGATTTATGTATATTATTTTTGAAAATAATTAACAAACCGACAAACACAACTCGACATATTGTTCTGGTTAAAGAAATTGGCAAATTTACTTTTTTACCCATCCCTGATAACGTCGCCTTCAGACTTCTAGTGGTATATAATAGTAATTTTACTTCCTTTTAACTGGTCAGACATTGCAAGGATTTAGGAGCCTGGTCGGTTTGGACAGTTTCCCACCCACTTTCACTGTAAACAAAAGGCCATGTCCTCATTTCCTATTTGGATGCCCACATTTCTAGGCAGCTCCAATCAGCGAACGAATATACACCGTTGAAGAAAGACCCAAATCACCCTTTCTTTTTTATTGACAATGGAACCTCTTCGTGCTTGCTTTCTTTTGTCTTTCCTCCTTTTCTTTGACCCTTGCTTTGCTTCTCCTTCCCACATCTCCCACCTCTTTGAAACTTGGTGTGATCAACATGGTAAACGGTACTCATCAGAAGAGGAAAAATCGTACAGGCTTAAGGTGTTTGAAGACAACTATGCCTTTGTTACTCAGCACAATGGTATGGGCAATTCTTCTTACTCTTTGGCTCTCAATGCCTTTGCTGATCTCACTCACCACGAGTTCAAAGCTTCTCGCTTGGGTCTTTCTGCTGGTGCCATTGACGGTAGCCGACCAAACCTTCAATTGCCGGGCCTTGTTCGAGATATTCCTGCTTCGATGGATTGGAGGACGAAAGGGGCTGTAACAAAGGTCAAAGATCAAGGGAGCTGTGGTATGCAATTGTTTGTTATGAAGTCTTTTACTTTAACTTGTTTAGGATTTTTTTTCTAATCTTTTTTGTGTTTCAGTTTTGTATAGAACAAGCACCGATTTCGGTTTGATCTAGATCACATAGCTTATATTTTTCTAGTTATCACGAATCTTAAGAAGAGACTTGCTTAATTTCCCAAATCCCTATTTTTATAATTCTGAGAAAACTGAACATTTACCAATGAATTTGTTTGAATAAAGTGCTCTTTACCAGTTAGCCTGTGCATTGGCAGGACTTATTGATACTAGAAAACTCGATTACTATCATATTGAAGGACTTTGGTGTAAAAAACAATCCCTCTGGTTTTGAATGATTCGAGGTTCTTTCCTGATCATCACCTGTAATGCCTCCTATAGAGTTTTGGATTTAAATGCTTAATATCATTATGAGTAGGTTATTCCAACAACATAAGTCATACATGGCAACATTACGGGCTATATTTTGAGTTACAAGTTGCAGATTGAACTTGTTTCATGTAATTAAGATAGAGACAAGTCTAATTATTATTCTTGTCTAGGTGCTTGTTGGTCATTCTCAGCTACTGGAGCTATAGAAGGTATAAATAAAATTGTCACTGGAACTCTTGTCAGCCTCTCTGAACAAGAGTTGGTTGATTGTGACAGATCTTACAATAGTGGCTGTGAGGGTGGACTCATGGACTATGCATATCTGTTTGTCATTGATAACCATGGAATAGACACTGAGGAAGATTACCCATACCTAGGTCGGGAAAATACCTGCAACAAGGAAAAGGTAATGGTTTCAGTTCCCCAGTATTTACCCATGTCAAGATGTTTAGTTTTGTACTAAAAAGTAAATGTAGTTTTGATATCTATTTTTCTAATTCATTGCAGCTGAAAAGGCGTGTGGTAACAGTTGATGGTTTCACCGATGTACCAGCCAATAACGAGGACCTACTATTACAAGCAGTGGCAAAGCAGCCTGTGAGTGTAGGTATATGTGGGAGTGAGAGAGCATTTCAGTTGTACTCCAAGGTTGGTCCTAATAATCCTCTAAGAAAGTATCCTTTTGTTGATCTACTATCATTATGATTAACAGTTATTTATGTGACAGGGGATATTTACTGGTCCATGTTCAAGTTCCTTGGATCATGCTGTGTTGATTGTAGGTTATGGTTCAGAAAATGGGGTGGATTATTGGATTGTCAAGAATTCATGGGGTACACGGTGGGGAATGGATGGCTATATTCATATGCTACGTAACAGTGGGGATTCTAAAGGGCTCTGTGGCATTAACACGCTGGCTTCATATCCAATGAAGACTAGCCCAAATCCACCTCCTCCACCACCCCCAGGACCAACTAAGTGTGATCTTTTTACTTACTGTTCAGCTGGGGAAACCTGCTGTTGTACTCATCGCATATTTGGAATATGCTTTTCTTGGAAATGTTGTGAGTTGGATTCTGCTGTGTGTTGTAAGGACAACCGTCATTGCTGCCCCTATGATTATCCAGTTTGTGATACAAAGAAGAGTCAGTGCCTTAAGGTTAGCATCAACTTTTTTCCCGTTAGATACTCAGCTTCATATCTTGAGTAATCAAAGCATGGGATAACTGAGTCATAGGATGTCTAATGTTTAGTGAAAGTTGAATGGCTGCACATGAGTTTTACCTGTCATTTCACATAAGAATGCTCGCTACCCCATTTTGGTGAATCGAGAGTTTCTTTGTTTTTTCATTGTAAAGATATAAAGCTTGTATGATTGCTGTGCCCTCAACTGTTTTCTCAAGACTGCATCGTTAAAATGATGTCTACTTGTAGCTGCTCTAACCTTTTTCTTCTCTGGAAAGTGAAGAATACATTTGGTTAATTGAAGGTATGGGACAGGGATACTAGATTAAAACCTTAGGGCAGATTCAAATGGGAAATCCAAAGTAGAATATTAGCCATTGGGGCATACTGCATTGTGAAAAAACATGCTATTTGAAAAGTGATCTTGATTTGCTGTCAGTGTTTTACCAACTCTAGACTAATGAACATCTTATGCTCACAGCGTGTTGGAAATGCTACAAGAATGGAAGCATTTGAGAAGAGACACTCTACTCGGAAGTTCAGCAGTTGGCGGCCCTTTGTCGAGAATTGGGTTCTGTAGAATCAAATTCCAAGTTGTACTTGTAAGGCATTTTTCATATGCTACTGTAGAAGTTCCAATGTTTCACCGCACAGGGAAGAGATTGTATCTGTGTATTTAAATTGTTGTACATTCTGAAGCCTTCAAATTGGTTGGCTGATTGGTGGAATCATGTAGTAACGGTTGTTTCTTTAAATAAATGGGAGTAAAAAGGTGAACTATAACTTGAAGGAATGGATTGGAAACTTTTTATGGAACCATGGCAAAGTCCAGGACAACTTAGAAGATGTAGGAAGGCGAACTGTATTTCAAAGTTCCCGGGCACTAACCAATGTCTTATGGTGCTTAAAATGTGCAGGGACATCCGACCTGGTTAAGCCACCCCGACATGGTTATTCAACTCGAGACATAATCAGTGAGTTGAGATTATTAATTACTAGTACAATCTTTAAGTTGCAGAGGGCAGTTTTCCCAAAAAAAAAAAAAAGCACAACAAATTGAGGATCATTTGTAGCTGTTATCTAGTACTATGTTAGGGGGCCTAGTCTGGCAATATCAGCCACCTTGCTTAACTAGTTCATTGTAATAATAGAGCCTGTGAAGTATCTGCATGGTTTATTTGGTCTTGGTTTGGAAGTTTTACTGAAAGTCGCAGTATGAATTCATCTCAAACGTGAGTTCTCTACTTGTTTTTAACTTATAATAGCATCCTGATATCATGAACGGATTGTGCTTTGGCTGAATCAGGTAAGACTGGCTGTAAGGGCCAGGCAGAGCAAGCCCTGGCTGTCCTGAAACTAAAAGGCCATTTTTCCAGCTCTGCCCTGCTTGAGAATGATTAACAAAGAGCCCTTGCTAGTAGCTACTTCAGGGAAACTGAATCATATCCACCATCAATCCATTCCAAGCATAAGAATCCAATCAAAGTTGCAGTAACATGAAAGTGTAAGCTTGAAACATCTTCAAAAGACTAGCTTGTGTGCAAATTAACCATGTTAACATCAACAATTCATTCAAGATTCTAACAACTGGTAGTACAAAACAAACAGAGAGATTCCATATCAAAAATTTACAGCTTCGTGTATAACAAATTAGGCATCAAAATATCTATATATTCACCAAACTCTAACCCAAGTTTTGTTCAAGTTTTTATCAAAGCCCCTCATCATGAGGAGGGAAACACGTCTTTCACAGCGGATGCGGCGGACAAGTAATTAAGAGTGTTCCTTAGAGTTTCCTTCTCTCTTTTTAACCTGGACGCCGTGTCTTCCAACTCCAGCAAAGCCTGTTGCTCTCTCGGCGCCCCTTCAAATGTACTCCCCACGAAAAACGAAAACGGCGTCGGGAAAAGATTCCTCCTCAAGTCCTGCGCTTCCTTTTCCGGTTTCCCGTTAAGCCGATTGGATAGCCGAATCACGTCTTTCATGTAAATCTCCACTTCATTGGCTAATCCTTCTAAATCTCCGTCGCCGGACGGCCTGTCTTCGAGCCAGTTGACTTCGGCGACGAATACGGTTTCGTGCGGACGATATTGGTGACACGGAACCGTTCTTGACCTTTACATATGAGGAAGAAGCGATCGTCGACGAGTCGTTCGTGTTTGACGATCTCGCCGACGCATCCCACGTCGGCGGTACCGGATACGGCATCGGAGTAAATGACGCCAAACCGGAGGTCGGTGTGGAGCAGCGTGTGCATCATAATGCGGTAACGGAACTCGAAGATCTGGAGAGGGAGGATGGCGCCAGGGAAGAGACTAATGGGAGAGGAAACAGAGGAGCTCCACGACGTCGTCTGATTTCGGAGGATTGGTGTGGTGTTTCTCGGGGAAAGAGGAAGCCGAGCACCGGAAAGAGCTGAGCCTGTGAACTCTGCGCGATTGAGAGAGGCGAAGACGACTTCGAAAAGGGCTTGAAATTAGGGTTTAAAAGAGAGGGATTAAGGGCGTTGGGGTTTATCGAAGGTTGGTGAGTGAGCGAAGAAGAAGCAGCATGGGAAGGATTAGCTGAGGGAGAGCCATTGTTGAAAGACCAGAACCTGTTTGAGTCTTTGCGCAACTGAAAAAAAAAAAAAAACAAGTAAATTGTAAAAACAAATTATAAAAAAAAAGGAAATTCAATTTTTTTTTTTTTTGGTTTAACAAAATTATGCTTTTGCAAAAGCTTGGGAAAGAAATTCTGGTGGTTTAAGGAGCAGATAACATTGTGGGGTAGAGGGAATTTGGGGGTGAAATGTGGATCGGAGGACTCCCACGTGGGAGCTCGGTACTGGACATTTAAGTGGCACCTGTCTCAGAACTTGGACTTGTATTTGCTTCGACAAGGGTGGTGGTGCCCGCCGTTTGGTGGATCATTTTCAGTTTTGCAAATGCCAAAAAAATCTTGAACCAGCTTGGATTTATCTTTGACACAAAATTGAGATACTTGAGATTCTTTGCAAAATTCGACCAATGATTCCATCTAATTCATGAGAGAAGAAACTTTCAACTTTGTCCGTCTTAAGATTTTCATGAATAAATTATTTTCTAATAAGATTATTTGTGACAGATTTCATATTAATAAGTTAAAAACAAATAAATGAATTTTAATCTTGATTTAGGGTTTTTAATTTAATAGATATATTTTTTGAAATAAAAATATAAATTCGTGACAAGTGATATTAGAATTTATCAATTTTTTACTAAAATCAGATTTTTATAAAAAATATCAAAATCGAGTTGAGGTACAAATTTCTTATCAGTAAAAAATATTCATAAAAACATCAAAATTTAGATAAATTCGGATCAAAGTGAGATACGAATTCCATAACAATAAAGGACCTTCACCAGATATATTAAAATCAAAATAAGTCTAAACCAAAATAAGATACAAATCTTATATTGGTAAAAGGTATATGATGCCTTTTAACTTATAAGCAATGGTGTTTCTATATGTAATAAACAAGTACTTTGCATTAAAATACATCTGGTAGTAACCTAGTCCAATAAGATTTAAATGGACTTACACTAACCAAGCCCAATAGTAAAAAATAAACAAATTTATATCACTAACGGCCCAATTTAATTACTATTTAATTAGGCCCATGTGTCCAATCCAATTGCAAAAAATCATAGGCTTTAACAAGTTTTGGGCTTTGGTTTGGGCATTTAGTAAAGCATGACGCTTTTTCTGTTTTTTTTTTTATTATTATTTTCCATGTGAAAGCGAAAAAAAGAAGCACGTGGACGCTGCCGTCAATTTATTGCACCGAGACCATTTTTTTGGTACCGTTCAAAACATCATCGTGCGCCGTATGCACGTATCATGTCAAAGTCCTTATCCAAATTCTAGAGGAGCGCTCGTTTCCTTCCCTTTTACTCGAAATCGGAAACACGGAATTGTTTTCACTGCTGACCACAAAAATTTTGCGTCACTGACATATGAGGTTGCGTCACGTGTTCCCGAAATTTTACCCGATGGCATTCTCGTAATAAGCCTCTACGTTAGCCTATATAAGGCAGCCGTGGACGGGCCGTTTCAGAACATCACCGCTCAAGAAAAAGAAAAAAGCTTAATAGCAAAGAGAGACGGAATCTGCTTTGGCCGATTATCAACTTTGAGGGGAAGGAATCAAACGGACGACGATGGCGGAAGAGGGACAAGTGATCAGCTGCCACACTGTTGATTCATGGAACGAGCAGCTGCAGATAGCTAACGCGTCCAAGAAGCTGGTAAAATATATACTCTTTTCTTTTCGATTAACTGAAAATTTCATTTTCTTTGACTGTTTTGGACAATGGCTGTTACTTGCTTATCTAGCTATCTGTTTTGTAACGTTTGTATGTTTGAAATGGGTACGTGTTTTTCCTGATTCTCCATCTGTGAATTAAGCAAACAGATTTGGGTTAATTAGTGAAATTGACAGTAAACTTGGTTTGATTTCCGTGCAAGATTTAGATTTTTGGCTTCTTGTTTACTGGATTCGATCTTACATGGGCTTGAAATTAGATCCCTAGCTTAATTATCACAATGAGATTACGTCGATATGTTTATTAAGGTTTATTATGTGCATGAGTAGTCTTTGGGAGTTTGCTTTTCACCAAATTCTTATGCTTTGTTATCCTGTTTTTATGATAATTAAAAGGATTTTACTAACGAGTTAAAAGTTATCATATTAAGTAAATATCTTTTTGTAATGCATATCTTTTAACTAATCTTAAATTCGGTAGCAGAACTTTAATTAAAAGCTGTATCATACTTAAGAAAAGGTTATCTTGGATAGGTGGTGGTGGATTTCACAGCTTCATGGTGCGCGCCATGTCGTTTTATTACACCAGTCCTGGTAGAGCTTGCTAAGAAGATGCCCCAAGTCACATTCTTGAAGGTGGATGTGGATGAATTGAAGGTAGCATCCCTTAAACCTTTGCTTACTACAGCTCAATTAACATTCGATTTGTATTAACTTGACTGGAAAGAGAGGATTGTGATTACTAAATAATTTTTCTTGACAATAATTTTCTTGTTTTTCCACAGACTGTGGCTCAGGATTGGGCTATCGAGGCAATGCCAACTTTTATCTTTCTCAAAGAGGGCACAATAATTGACAAGGTTGTGGGTGCAAAGAAAGATGAATTGCAACAGAAAATAACCTCACATTCTAGCATGCTTGCTTGATGCAGAGAAGCATGAATCAAGGTTTAGTTGTACTCCTTGAAGTCTGAAGTTGTTTCTGAAACTAGAATGTTACTTATGGATCTCATAAAATAACTGTATCTTGGATAGATACTTAATAATGTGTGATTTTAGTTGTATTTGGCTAACTTCGGCTTCTGCCCCTTGTTTCTATATGAATACAATCTTATGTTCAAATTAGTCTCATGTTTTCTGATACATCCTTGGATTGTTTAGTTAAGAAAGCTGATAGCCTAAAGTTAATTGGGTTCTCTGTTTTGCACTCTCTTCTTTTATGTTCTTATCTGGATTAGCTAAATAAGGATGTGCTTTGTGTCAACTGCTTAACTTTAGTTGAACCTTATGTGACTTTAAATTTTGAAAATAAGAGCTTAAGTAAGCCGGACTGGTACGGCAGCTTTCTTGCCTTGTCCGGCACCTTCCCCAGCTTCCGGGGTTGGTCGGCAACTCATGGGTTGTGCTGTGACACTTTGCACATGATATGCTTCCAGCCTAAGTTCTAGTTAGTGTCCTATTAGTAAAACCAAGAATGGCAATTGCACTTGCACAATTGGACAGTCGGGTGTCAGCCGCAAATAAAATCAGGAAACCTTTGCATCACTAAGAAAATGATGATTCATTTCTTGAAAGCAGGAAAGGAGAAAAAAATGGGATTTCAAACTTAGATATCAACTGGCTCGCCTGTCATCACTTATCACCCACTTACTTTACAGAGCTTTCATCCAGATGACTGCCTAATTCTAAAACCTTTATAATTTAAAACAATAGTGAAATAACATTTAGACAATTGAAACTGAAATAGCTTCTCCACCCATATCTTTACTCTTTGGTAATTTTCTCCTTGTCAGCTATGTTTATAAAACTGATCTCCTCACAAGAGATATTTTGGATGCATCCCCACCAAGTTCTTCAAAGACTACCAACAAATTTCTTGTCGGCTTTAGCAATGATCTTGGAACGTGATACCTGAAAATTTAAAGATATAAAGAATTGAGATAAGAGTTTCAGTCCATTGAAAGCCTAGTCATTTATGGAGTTCTGCGAGAGTGATACCATCTTTGAGTTGGCTGGCCACAACCACTCTGGCACCTTGTAGGTCGGAATGTCCCTGAGTAACCACAAGCACTGCAGTCACCCTTTGCATAAGCCATCCAATATCTTCCTAAGCTCTCTCCATTGATCCATACTTGACCCTTTCCCATACTCCGCATATCCAAAGCCAGTGGTTCATCACCTCCTGGGGAATTGAAATATGCCTGAAATATCCAAGCCAAAATTTAGACACCATCTAAAAGAAAAGGGACAAAAAATCGAAAATCCCCTAATTCATCCCATTTGCATTTCCCTGCCCCTTCAGCTTTTCTACCTTGTACCATGCCATAGACTGCCGACTGCGTGTAGCTAGTGACCCTCGAATCCACTCAGCTGATGAGGCTTGATCTGGAGAGACCAAATTCATCGCTTCTCCTTGTAAGCCAACCTGTTTAGGAGTAGTTCTGTGAGCCTAACTAACTTCTTCTGGCATTTTGTAATGCATCATCGAATAGTTTTTGCAGATGAATGCAAGTTTGCCAAACCTGGTATGACCATTTCTGCCACGTCAAGTCTTTCTTTCCTTGGTCAAGGCCATGCAAGAAAACACCAAGAATCCCTGTTTTCCATGTCTCGTAATGCAGTCCAACGTTCTTCAACACCACCATAAATTTGTATCAGTAATTAGTTTAAAGTTTTGGTTGGGACAAGTTCAGTTCACTTGCTTCTTTCCCATCCTAATAGAACCATAGGGTAAAGGAAATGCCTGAGGAAATAGTAAACGTGGCAGGTAACAGTTGCATCCAGATAAGCATGGTCAAGAGCAACTAACCGGTAATCCAACGGCTACACTGACAAGTGCAATGCGATTTGTTCCAGCACGTAGGTTCAATGGTCCTGAGAATGTGAAACTCCTGTCTTCCCTGGTTCCAAAGGCTGACCCTGTGATTTAATCATATGACTTAGTATGACTAAACAATGCAAATATCAAAATTCAGTGTTATCAATAAGTAATGATACTTCAATTATGAGTAAAACCATAACATACCTGAGAACTGGCCGTTGATGAAGACATGAAGAGCATGGCCAGCTGAGTCCACATTGAGAGTGGGCTTTTGTCCTCCTCGCAGAAATGATTCTGATGGGCTAATGTCAACACTGGAATGAAATTAAGACAAGAAGAAATTATTAGGTTATTGCTTCGGCCACTTTAATTTACATATTTCTATGGTTACTGCCTTGGACGCTATAGACTATGTGAAGAGATATAGATACATTTGTGTCTGACAACTTCTACATGTAAAATGATTTAAACTGTAGATACCAAATATCGAGTGGCGGTTGGCTATGGATTATCTCTAGTTTCCTCCTCTCTCTGTCTAGTTCAGTCTCATACATGTAAAATGATTCAAACTGTAGATATCAAATATCTAGTGGCGGTTGGCTATGGATTATCTATGGTTTCCTCCTCTCTCTGTCCAGTTCAGTCTCAAGATCCCCAGAAAATTCATTGGAACAGAGATATGAGGGTAGTGAATTGCATCAATTACATTGCTGCAAATGGCATTGACCAGATTGAGCCTTTTCATGAAATTTTCAGACCTTTCTGAGCAAGTCCATCTATACTAATGATGTTCTGTCATGATACCTTCAAATCTTTTTTAGTGGTAGTACCGAACTTCACAGATAGTTAAAGAAAGTATGAGGTTTCTTGATGAATGTCAAGTTGCTATTCAACAATTTGGTAAAAGGAATTCAAAGAGTATTAAAATGCAGTGCTTAACCTGGTTGTGTACCACAGATAGTCACTGGTATCTCTGGTAACATTCATCTGCTCCAAGAGTCCGGGAGCTGTGAGTCTTGAACTTTCCCCTAGAGAAGAAATGTCTTCATCATAAGTCTCCCATGAGGACATCATGGAGTTCGTTGGCAACATTTGGATATGTGAAGTTTTAGTTCCAACCTTGATGTACATTGAACAATTATATAAGTATTTTCAGAGGAATATCAAATGATTCAATGAAAATAGCCTTAACTACAGTAAAATAAGGCCCCTGGGTTTACTTACTATTGCAGTGTTAAACACCGCATTTCTGCAATCAGGAAGAATGCTAATAGACCAAGGGGGCAAATTGTAGTGCCTGTTATTAAACAGCACCCTAGCAGCAGATTTTGTATGGTAATTAGATAGAAAAGCTGCACAGCTTCCTTGCCTTGAAGAGAATACATGGGCCTGAAAGATGATTATTATTAACATAATCAGTGGAAAGTGTTGTTTAAAAGCAAAACTATCCTACTACCAATGGATAATAAGAATAATGATAGACAGAGAGAGCAGACTTGCTGATAGGTTCCCAAGGAAGTAACAGTAGGATCCGAGGAAACTAAAGCATGTTCACATAGCTTAATAGCCCGATGAAGCTCCTGCAGATGACCATATTTAGGCTGCCGGATTAAACCTAAGCAAGGTGAACTTGTCAGTTGAAACTCAGAGTTGAAAGACAAAACCCTTGCATTGTATTGCTACATTTACAAAGTTAAGATCTATGAGAACATAGCAAGGAAGAAATGGAAATGAGAAGATTGACAGCAGGAAAGATCCGTGGGTTAATCAATTGCTCCTGTCAAATTCTGATAAGGCAAGCTTTAGATTGTGAAAGCTTTAAAGGAATTTCACAAGGTCATGATTTTAATTATAACGAGAATGAACTCAGTTTTCTCACCGTATTCATCAATTGGAGCATCATAGTCATAACTGGTTGTAATAAATGGTCCTCCAGCAGTCCGTCCAAAGTTGGTTCCTCCATGATACTATCAAAAGCAAATGGAGCATAAGCTGTGAGCTTAAACTTGTGGCTGGCACCATGAGTCGTTACAATTATAGACCACAATAAACAAGGTAACTAACCATATAATAATTAATATAAGAGCCACCCTTTTGTATGAAACGAGCAACTGCAAATGCCAAGTCTTGAACTGGGCGCTGGTGAATTGTGCCACCAAATTCTGTAAACCTTCTCAGTATTGGGAAAACAAATATCAGATATACAAATAAGCATATGAACTCCACATTCCTTATATCAAATTCTCAAGGATTGGCAAAGAATGTACTCACCAGCCGCTCCAAGCCTCAGTCCACATTGTAGGCTTGTAAGGCTTGTTGGGAGAGAATGCATCACAGTAAAAGCCATTACATGCATTTATCTGCATTCAAGATGTGAAGGAAAACAGAGTCAGGGTCTTCTGAGGCAACATGAAATTCAACAAAGATGAAAACTAAGGGAAGAAAAGAGAGTGAGACAGTTTACCACAGGGTCTGGGGCGTCATCTTCCTTGCACATAACCCATGGGACTCCTGTATCCAGTCCAACAGCCATTTTTGCAGCCCAATTAATGTATGCACGACCAGCCGCTCCAAGTGCCTTACTCTCAGGTCCATATTCATTCTCAATCTGCACAAATGAGATAGTGTACAAGTTCAGACCAAAGCTTTCACCTGTTATTGGCGTCTTAGGCTCTTAGCCATCCTTCCAGCTCTTCTCTTTTTGAAACCAAATCTCGGCCAATTTGAGCAAATCAGAATTCCCAAAACTAGAAATCATAAAGGCCAAATATGGAGAATCTCATACCTGAGAGAGAATGATGGGGCCACCTTGTGATGCAAAGAGCTTTTCATTCTTCATCATTTGGACAATTTTCTGGGTAAATCCTTGCATTGCCCTCTGTAGGAAACAAAACAAAAGAAAAAAATTAGAAATTTTCTTAAAAAGCCTATTAGCTTTTTGACTTTCTGCACTCTTTGTTCTTCCTCTTTCTTCTTCAAATTGAAAGGGCCCCCTTTCTGGCTTTCCTTTGGATTTTTCCATTTTAGTAAAGAAATTCATAGCACAGACAGAACTGATAAAAATGAACTAATATGTCCAGAAACACCTTGAAGGGCTCATTATCTGTTCTGAAGCTGATACCAGGAACATACTTTAGCCAAACAGGAAAGCCTCTGTAGCGGAAAGAAAATGTAAACCACTCAAATCCAGGAAGCAGGAAACAAAATTCTTTCAAAAAAAGTAATTAAATTAAATTAAAACACATCTCAGATCGAAATATTTACTCTGGAACATGTTAAGAAGGTTAAAAAATTTTCATTTTTAACTGAAGAAGGCAAAAAGAATATAGATAGTAAGTACCCAAAATTCCACTCTGCACAAACATAGGGTCCAATGCGAAGATGAACATGTAGTCCCAACTTTTGTACTGTCTTAATGAACCGTACCAGGTCGTATCTCCCTTCGAAATTATACTGCACCATCCCAAAAATTGAATAAAGAATACATAACCAGAAGTAAAGAGGAAAAAAAAACACAGAATTCAAAGATGACCCAGTTGAGATCTAAGAAAGTACATTGCCAGGAGAAGGTTCATGACCATTCCAGAAGACATAGGTGTCTATGACATCCAAGCCTCCATCTTTAGCCTTCTTTATAAGATCCTCCCACATCTGCATCCAAAAAAAAGACAACCCAAAGAATTAGTCTTTTTCTTTTTCAAGGGGAAAATAAGAGGAAAAGAGTGAAAGACAATCACCTCAGGGGTGCTTCTGGGATAATGAATGGAGCCGGAGATGAGGATTCTCCTTTGTCCATTGATGACAATAGCTTTCTTATCATAGGTAATGCTACACTGGATCAGTTTAGAACACACTAACAAACCTGTGATGAACCAAATCAACAGCTTGGAAATTGAGCTAGTTTCCATTTTCCCTTACTGCTTAACTTGGAGGGAAATTTTGAAAAATTAAAATACCAAAAAAAACAAAGAAAAGAAGTTGTAATGGTGAAGTGAGAGAGAAGTTGGTTGGGTAAGACACTGATCTGCTACTCTGGAACTAGCATTGTTCTGTTTTAGATACTGCTTCACAGTTCACAACTTCACAATAAAAGCTCAGAGGCTTTGCTGTTTTTATATGTACTTGTGTACATGCTTGTTACCGGCATTCAAAAAGTCTTGGAAGAGTCCTATTCATTTTTCAGCCATTAAAATATTGGAGAAAGGCAATTTGTAATACAACCAAAAAAGAAAAGCTGGAGCTTTAATGGAAGTAAAAGCAGTCCAAACTATTATTACACTTTGACACGGCAAAGAGACAAGAAGGAGAAGGAGAAGAAAAATAAAATAAAAGCAAGAGAAAAACAGTGGCTGTACGGATATGGGTGCCAACTCAGCTGCATGCTGGACCCTAAACTCTGTACAATTTATGCTTCAATCCTCAGGGTTTTGAATTTCAGAATTTTGGAAGTAGTAAGTGTACTTACTGTTCACGAGATAGCTATTGTTCTGTTCATTGATTGCAGTGAAGATTCACGAGAATTCACCCTTTTGATGTTTACTACTTCTGCTAAGTAAACAAAAGACAAAAACCCTTTCTTACATTTATACTGGAGAGCTGCTATCATTGATTGTGATGAATGAAACTTGAATTCCAAGTGAAGTTAAAAGAGTATGAGAACTGCAAATTAATTACTTAGCAATGTAATCCTTCTAATGTAAAGCATTTTCCTGATCCCACTTTGGCCCGTACTCTGACAAGAAGATTTCATACCCAATGTGATATATCATAATACCCCATTTGCCTTTGGGCAATGTCTCGTGTATGCATGTGCAAATCATTTTCTGTCTTATTTTCCTTTTCAGGTCCCCTTTTTGGATAATGCAATATCTCTACCATACTTTTAAATTAAACATGATCGTGACGATGCGAAAATATCATCTTGTTTTTGTCTAAAATGTGCAGCAGAGCAGGCTCGTCATTGCCTAGTTGGTTTTTGTGATAAGCCCATCTGCCATGTGATGTGTCGCGTCCATTTATCTAATTCGTATTAAGACTCAAGTCTTAATTAAACCATATTGTCAAGAAAATGTTTAAGGATCATAAATAGACTAAAATAACTTGACTTACTTTTAGTGTTACAGGTTACTCATATACAAATTATCACATTTTGAACACCGATTAAAGACAAATAATGATAATTTCTATTCCGATAAAAAGATAAACACTTATATCTTTACCTTGATATATTATCCATTATTTTGAAATAATTCAAGATCAAAGAAAGGGGAAAATATTCTGATCTATTCCATTTTGAGTTGTACTGCAGAATAAATATAACCTTGTCGTCTTCTTTACTTCTTCTTGTTCTCCTCTGCTTTCTTTTTTCCCTTGTTCCTCCCCTTATTAAAGGAGAATCTTGACCGAACACAGTTGGCTTAAAACATAAGAAAAATATGAAGGACCAATGTTTTAGGTTAAGACAGGTTTATGTTGGAGCAATGTGGATTGGTTGATTCATGACCGCCTTCCCCTGCCCACGTGCATCGTCTCTCATGCAATTTCTTAAAAAATGTAAAAACATTTCGCTCCTGTCGTCTACCATATTTCAAAGGGAAAGGAAGAAAAGTTTGCCATGTAGGCGTAGCACAACCCTAAGACATCGGGTCCTTGTTTGAACGTGCTCGAACGCCATTACATACACAGCAAATATCGGGTGCATGTTGATGTATAGATTCAATATATTATTAATAAATTAAATATTATAATTCCATTAAAAAATAAATAAAAAATAAAAATTCTTAGAAATTAACTAATAAACTTTTAAGTTAGTGGGTTTTGGCAACTGATTAGCATCATAAAGCATCTTTAAGTATAATATAGTATTGTATTTAATGTCACCTAATATTTGTATTTTGGTGTATGGCTGTTACATGACTCTTCACCTAAACGAATTTAAAATAACAAGGCAATGAACAATTAATTATATCCAACTCATCATGCATTTACACTGAAAGGGTCAATTTCTCTTAATCATTCTTTTTCCTTAATTACTTACTAATTTTGGGTTTTTTTTGCCCTTTTAACCAAACATTTCCATCTCTATTTTGTGTATTCCAAGTGTGGGGAAGAGACTAAGATTTGATTGAGAGAGATTGATGTTTGAACCATCATCTTCATTATTGAAAAAGGTGAACGCAAGAAAGGATAAGGGGAGGATATGGGGAAGTTGACGACGTTAATCAAAGTCTTAATTTTGTATTTAATCGATCAATCAATCACTCAATGTGATGGTGATGATGATGATCATGATGGGCGAATTTGGAAACAGGGTGTGGGGTCCGTTAATCAACGGGGCACCGTTCATGCGCCGTTTGTTGTCTCTCTATTGTCAAGGCATCAGGTCTCGTGCCGCTAGATCTCCGTTCCGTTTACGTCGGTGCAAGCAACGTATCCAAGAAACTATATTTGTCATTTGAAATATTTGTTTATACTTAGATAATCGCAAATCATCGCAGCCGAGCCTTTCCAAGCAATTTGCTTACAGCTTACCGCGATTCTTGGATCACGTGAAGTAAGTTTTAGGTATGATGCCCTTCCAAAGGGTAACCCGCTTTGGCCAATGGGCTGTCTCTCTTCTTAATGAGTCTCAAATACAGTTGTGAGGGGACCTTTCGTTGAAATATATAGGGTATTCAAATTTAATATTTAATAAAGTGAGCAATTAGTTCGTTGGATTTTAAAAATTTGCTTTTTTTGATTTTTTTAATTATTAATAATATTTATATATAAATATATTTAAAAAAGTTTACTTAATGCTTTAATAATTAAATTTAAATAAATCGTTTTCTTCTAAATGATTAATATTGAAATCGAAAGAATCGAATCAATCAACTTCGATCGGTTATTTTGACATGTACCAATTCAACCTCACTCTTAAAACCCAATAATGGTTTTTTGGACTTTTTTTGGTTTAAAACATTTCAAAGCTTATCCTTTTCAGTAGTCGTTTGACAGGTTTTAAATGGGTCATGTGCTTATAATGTTCACCACAGGTACGCTTAGGTTGTTGCTCTTTACTTCGCCACCAGCCAGGCTCGAGTTGTATCTGAGTCATTTGCCTTAAACGCTGCTGAGTTGGCTTTTAATTGCGTGGATTTTCTTGTTCATGGTGGGCACACCCAGTACACATATCATGCTTACGTGAGCACATATCAGGCCGACAACAGAAGAAAATGTTGTGAATTGGGCCTTGGTTAAGATCTCACTGGGCCTTAGATAGGCTGACTAAGTCGGGCCCCCAGGGTTTTTCCAAGCCCAGTGATATCCATTACATTGGGGATTTCAGGGCCGCCATTTAACCTTTTGTAGTAAGACGTGGCAGCTTATGTGGCACCCAGACTCAGAATTCCAACGTGGCTCTGTCCCATTGGAACATGACATCAATCATAGAGGAGCCGGTTTGGGCAGGATTACCCCAGCCGGACATGGCCTTCCTCTTCCACACGCCCCCTTGCAAATTGCAATCTTTCAATCCATCCATTATCTGTTGTCACTTCAAAAACATTTCAAAAGATTGAAAAATAATTAAAAGAGAAAAAAAAAAAAAGGTCAGAGGGGGAAGAGAGAGAGGGACAGAGATTATTCAGAAATTAGTTAAAGAAATGGAGAATCTGATGATTCCTTGTACTTCGAAACCTTCTGTAATAATCCCAACAAAACATGAAAACTGGTCTGAATTTTCTCAAACCCCAACGAAACTGGCATTTTCTAACAACAAAAAGACCAACAACCCAAAAATCAGCGATTCCCAGTTAAATTACCTGTCCAGAAACGGCCGCCTAACTGAAGCTATAACCGCTCTTGATTCCATTGCCCAAAGTGGGTCCGAGGTAAGACCCAACACCTTCATTAATTTACTCCAAGCTTGCATTGATTTCGGTTCTCTTGAGCTTGGTCGAAACTCCATGCCCGAATCCATTTAGTTAAAGAAAGTGACCCCTTCGTTGAAACGAAGTTGTTAGCATGTATGCAAAATGCGGGTCTTTTGTCGATGCACGTAAAGTGTTTGATAAAATGAAGGAAAGGAACTTGTACGCGTGGTCTGCTATGATTGGTGCGTACTCCAGAGAGTTGAGGTGGAAGGAAGTTGTGGAATTTTTCTTTTTGATGATGGAAGATGGTGTTTTGCCTGACGAAATTTTGTTTCCGAAACTTTTGCAAGCCTGTGCTAACTGTGGGGATGTTAGGACGGGGAGATTGTTGCATTCTTTAGTAATCAGATTGGGGATGGTTTGTTTTGCGCGTGTTAGTAATTCGGTTTTAGCTGTATACGCAAAGTGTGGGAAATTGAGTTCAGCGACGAGGTTTTTCGAGAACATGAATGAGAGGGATATAGTGACTTGGAATTCAATGATATTGGCGTATTGTCAGAAGGGTGAGCATGATGAAGCTTATGGATTGTTTAATGGGATGCGGGAAGATGGGATTCAACCGTGTTTAGTTACATGGAATATATTGATTAATAGTTATAATCAGTTAGGGCAATGTGATGTGGCAATGGGGTTGATGAAGGAGATGGAGAGCTCTAGGATAATTCCTGATGTGTTTACTTGGACCTCTATGATCTCGGGGCTTGCTCAAAATGGTAGGAGGTGGCAGGCGTTGTGTTTGTTCAAGGAGATGCTACTGGCTGGGATCAGGCCTAACGGTGTTACTATCACAAGTGCAGTTTCTGTTTGTGCATCCTTGAGAGTATTATATATGGGGCGGGAAATTCATTCTATCGCTCTTAAGAGGGCTATAATTGATAACGTACTTGTTGGTAACTCCCTTATTGACATGTATGCTAAGTGTGGGGAACTGGAAGCTGCGAGGCAAGTCTTTGTTAAGACTGAAGAGAGAGATGTTTATACTTGGAACTCAATGGTTGCAGGATATTGCCAAGCTGGGTACTTTGGGAAGGCTTATGAACTCTTTATGAAAATGCGAGAATCAGATCTGAAACCTAATGTCATTACATGGAATACAATGATCTCAGGATACATACAAAATGGAGATGAGGATCGTGCCATGGATCTTTTTCAACGGATGGAACAGGATGGGAAGATTAGGAGAAATACAGCATCCTGGAATGCTCTGATTGCCGGTTATGTGCAACTTGGGGAAATAGACAAGGCATTTGGAGTTTTTCGACAAATGCAGTCATGCTTTGTCAGTTCAAATTCAGTGACCATATTGAGTATCTTGCCTGGTTGTGCAAATTTAGTTGCTGCGAAGAAGGTAAAAGAGATCCATGGTTGTGTTTTGCGCCAGAATTTAGAGTTTGTACTCTCTATTTCAAATTCTCTAATTGACACATATGCCAAGTCAGGTAATATATTATATTCTAGAATCATATTTGATGGAATGTCAACTCGAGATATAATTTCCTGGAACTCAATAATAGGAGGTTATGTTTTACATGGTTGTTCTGATGCTGCCCTCAATCTCTTCAATCAGATGAGAAAGTTGGGACTTAAACCTAATAGAGGTACCTTTCTAAGTATTATCCTTGCACATGGTATTGCTGGAATGGTAGATGAGGGAAAGCAAATTTTCTCTAGCATCAGTGGCAACTATGAGATTATACCAGCCGTAGAACATTATGCAGCTATGATAGATGTCTATGGCCGCTCTGGTCGGCTTGGAGAAGCAATGGAGTTTATGGAAGATATGCCTATAGAACCTGACTCCTCTGTTTGGACTTCCTTGCTAACTGCCTCTAGGATTCATAGGGATATTGCTTTGGCTGTCCTTGCAGGGGAACGGTTACTTGACTTGGAACCAGCAAATATTTTGATTAACCGAGTAATGTTTCAGATATATGCCTTGTCTGGGAAATTGGATGACCTTTTAAAAGTGAGAAAGCTTGAAAAAGAGAACATGTTAAGAAGATCTCTTGGGCACAGCTGGATTGAAGTTAGAAATACAGTGCACAAATTTGTTACTGGTGATCAGTCTAAGCCATGTGCAGACCTTTTGTATTCATGGGTGAAAAGCATAGCTAGAGAAGTGAACATACATGATCATCACGGTTGGTTTTTCATAGAGGAAGAAGAGAAAGAGGAAACTGGTGGTGTCCATAGTGAAAAACTTGCTTTAGCTTTTGCCTTAATGGCCTTACCTTATTCCCCTCGAAGTATAAGGATTGTTAAAAATGCTAGAATGTGTAGTAACTGTCATGTAACTGCTAAGTATATCTCCTTGAAATTTGGGTGTGAGATATATCTGAGTGACCGAAAGTGCTTCCACCATTTTAAGAATGGACAATGCTCTTGTGGAGACTATTGGTAGAGTGCTCGTGCTGGATATAGGAATTATTTGCGCAGATCATATTCTAAGAAAGCACAAAAACTCTCTTGGAAACTACAACAAACTTTATTCTCTGTGCTAGAGCACACAGGTAAAAAAGTTGCACTCAGTATGGCTCTTTAGATTACTTGACTTTATCTTACCATGTATAAAAAAATTGTATATCTTTATATATATATATATGTATATATTTATATATATATAATTTGTTCAGCTTTTCCAAGAAGCTGTATGCTGCTGATTTAGTGGGATGCTGGCTGCTGGAGTTCAATTATTACACTCAAGAGTAGCTAAAGACGAGATATTCGTCACACCATCCGAGTCCTGTTGGCAGGTAATGACATAAAGCATTTACAGTTGTTGCCAGTATACATAGCAACTTTTGTGTAATTAATTTCCAGAATAGATATTCTTTTGCATGGTATTGGTGTATCTCTTTGTTGAAATCCTCTTCTTGTTCTTTTACTTGGAAGTCCTTAAAGCCGACCACATTTACTTAAAATTTATAATATTACTTTGGCAGAAGCTTCAGAAATCCTGCAGGAACTTGGAACTTAAACTGAGTTACTAGCCACATATTTTGCTCCAGTTTGATTTCTACACTGAAGCACATCTTTGTATGCTGGCTGTTGCCCACCGTTTACATCTTTACCAGTACTGCTCAGTGTGCACTTCTCTGCTTTAATTAACAGAGAGAATGCTTTCTGTGTCGGTTTAAATGACACCTTATTATTGTTTGAACAGGTAACTTCTGATTGTTCCTTGGATTAGGCCTTGCCAATTTTGAGCATCTGTCATAAAGCGCATCAGGTTATCTACCAATGCTTATATTAACAATGAATTATATCCTTTCTCGAGTAAGCTCAATGAAGGGTACCTGCCAAGATGATGGATCTTTGCGAGTTCAATGTAAGCCTGAAAATTCCAATGAAATATGTTCAAGGTTGTGCTACATGCATTTCGGTTTTGAACTTCAGCTCAATTGAATTTTGTATGAACATTCACGTATCTTGTCCACGATCAAGAATAAATTTACAACTGTAATTTCCTGAAAATGATCTTTTACGGGGTACGAATTGTTAATAAATTTGCTACCTTAGAATACCTTAATTTGTGTGGATGCACATCTGAGATTTTAATTAGATAACTACTAAGGATTCACCACCGAGAAGACATGAAAAATGTCTAGATAACGGTTTCAGTTTTGCTTTTCTACATCTAACTAGTCATTTTGCTGTTTCCTCTGGTTCTATATATTTGACTGCCAACTGTTAACCTTGAAGGGAGTTTAAACTTTAAACAATCAATTCAGTCCTGAGATTTACAGCCTTTCTAGTTCTACCACTGCTGTTGCAGGAATGAGGTGGTGGTTTTCAGTTGAACTGCAGCTAACCTGCCTGCATGGAGTTATTAAGGCCCTAAACATATTGGAATAGGACAATAATTCCAAACCTTCTGAATGTGTAAATCCTAAATATCTCTGCAATGCTGCATGTTCGCAATAGTCAGATAAAACGTAGTGTAATTTTACTAAAATTTCGACGATGATTTTGAAGGATGAGCTTAGCTTGAAGGTTTGCTTGTTCCCAATCCCACCACATCTCACCACACCAAAAAGTGTTCTCCCGATGGTCTTCCTATGCCTGCTTTTAGCTGATATAATCATGAAAAGTTTTCCCCCATCCCAGACAAAACATTCCAGGAATATTTTGCTGCCTTTTTTTTTTCTTTTCTGCGGAGATAAGAAAGTATCCCCTGATAGAATCGGAATCTGGAAGAGAGTTGGTGAGAGCCAGCTATGTGAATTAATGATAAGATGCCATCAGAATTGCTTCCAATTTGATCGAATCACCTTCGCAAAAGTTGAAAGCTCCCAAGGATAAGCATAGTATACCATCTTCTGAAAAAGAATCAGCCATGAATTGGATGCAATAGCGTGATCATGTATGCAGCAGAAACCCACAGCTGAACCATTGAAAAGAAACATACAGACGTGCGTAGATGAGGTAAATCGATTCGGTACATGAAGATATGCATCACGAATGACTTCAAAAGAATTGCGTTTAAGAAGATTCTGTTCACCGTGAAAGGGGTAGTTATTGAAAGGTTGAACTTTTTGGCTAGTAGACAGTGGGGAATAGCTGATCTTCAAATGCCCTTTACTGGGAAAATTCATGATTCTCAATGTACAATTTCTCAGAAATTTCACAATCAAAAACGGTGGAACATTTGTTAGCAGAAGATAAGAGCTCTCTTCAGGACTCTGTTTTTCGGGTGGATCCGATTCCTTTCCTTTAAATTGTTTCCCTTCAAAGTGGAAAAAGGAATAAGCTTCTTCTGCACAGTTTAAAAACTTTATTTTAATATTCAACTGACCCTTTTTGTGCTCATAAATTCAAATCTTATCTCTCAGTTACTCATTGCGGTTCTAAAGCCAACTTCTTAAGCCTGTGCTGGTCACCTTAATTTGGCAACACTTTGCTCCTTGGTTGAGAAATGGTAACTGTTGATTCGGTTTTACAATTTGTTTTTCAGTTTATTGATATTCTGGTTGGTTAATTCTCCTTGATGATGTTGCCAGAGTCTTGAGGACGATAAGAAACCGATGTCAGTTGGGCCATGGGGAGGCCAAGGCGGGTCTTCTTGGGATGATGGAGTATACTCCACAGTAAGGCAACTGGTGATAGCTCATGGATCGGGCATTGACTCTATCCAGATTGAGTATGATAATAAAGGGAACTCTATTTGGTCAAAGAAGCATGGGGGAGTTGGAGGATCTAAGACAGATAAGGTTAGTTTCAAAATGACACAATGCAAAAACTGATATTCTGTAATCATCTCAAGCTTAGGCTGATTGCAGTATGCTATAATTATTTTAGCGTTTCCTTCATTAAATTCTGTTCTGAAGTTAAGGATTGAATGGTAGATCTTCTTGCAAGTTGTTTTATCTGGAGTTGACAACAAAATTGACTTAAACTGATATTCCTTGTGTTATCTAAATTCTTTTAGGTCAAACTTGATTACCCAGATGAGTTTCTTACTTCAGTTCATGGATACTATGGTAGCCTACATGAACGAGGACCGATTCTTGTTCGATCGCTCACTTTCCATAGCAACAGGAAAGCATATGGACCCTATGGTATTGAACAAGGAACTAGTTTTTCAATGACCAGGGGCAAGATTGTTGGATTTCATGGCAGGTGTGGATACTTTTTGGATGCAGTCGGAGTCCATTCAAAGCCTTTCTCAAAAGTGAACCCCTCAAAGAGTATCGTTCATGCCCAAAGTTTTGTTGCGGATGGGAATGAGAAAGTTGGCTACTCATTGATACAAGGAAGTGTTGGAGAGAAGTACGATATAGTTCTTGCTGTAAGACAGAGGGATGCATATGGGAATCCCCTGCCAAGGCAGCTCTCAAGGGAATCTTCTAGTAGCTCTGATGATTCAAGTGATGTAGAAACCAGAAGCAAGGTAAGAAAGAAATCTACTCCTTGTTTTCCCTTCTATATGCGCGATATTAATTTCTTCATGTTTGTTGCATTGTTCAAGGTTTCATTTCAGACTCCTGAGAAGGTGCCTTCAAAACTAGCAGAAGGTGTGATATCTTATGGACCCTGGGGTGGCAATGGTGGAGCCAAGTTTGATGATGGAACCTACACCGGTATAAGGCAAATTACTTTATCACGCAACATTGGAATTGTGTGGATAAAGGCTTGCTATGATCGTGATGGGCAAGCAGTATGGGGAAGCAAACACGGAGGCACTGGAGGATTCAAAACTGACAGGGTAACAAAAACTTCATCCAAAAAAAATTAATCATTAATCTAAGTTAAAAAAAATAAAAAAAACACACAAAATTAAAAAAAAAATACTAATGATTGAAGTTTTGTGATCTTGATTCTCTCTCCAATTCTCTTACTTTTTTATTTTATTTTTGGCTCTTTTCTCAAAAAAATTACTTCCTGTCTCATCTCAAGAACCTTTGAAAAAGCCTTTTACATAACCTCTAAAAACCTTTAACTTCCAAAATCTTGTAAATTTGTTATTTTTAAAAAATACGATGAGTGTGCGGTTCTTATTTTTCAAAGAGCCGCGTCTCTCAAAAGTTCTGTTCAATTTTATTCTTTTGGTGTAGTACTTTTACTTGATAAAAATTTTGATTACCTTCCTACTAGAATTGGGTAAAGTGGTAAATATCAAAATTGTAACTTTGTCTCTTAACTTTCTAATAGATTAAAAATCATATCATTTGGACTTTTGTAATGAAAGATATTTTTGAAAAACTAAAATATATGCAAACAGAGCATCAATTCATTATTCACCTTTTTTCACCAATTAAAATTATTTTCAATGTTACTTTTAAAAAAACATAAAAATAAACATAATATAAAATTCACATTATTAACTTACAATAAATATTTAAATATAAATTAAACTAAATTAATATAATAAATAAAAATACTTAAATTTGATCTTAAATTAAATTTAATTTAAATTAATTAAATATTTAATTTTTTATTAAATATATATATTTGATGCACACATCACAGAGAGAGTCTAGCCTTCTCTTATAGAATTCATGTCAATATCTGTTAGCCAAATCGAGACGCAATTTCACTTACTGTTTCTTATGAGCTTTCTGTTGCATTATCCGCAGATAATCTTTGATTATCCATCAGAAATTCTGACACACATCACAGGAACCTTCGGGCCTTTAATGTACATGGGGCCAAATGTGATTAAGTCACTTTCATTCCACAGCAACAAAGGAAAGCATGGGCCATATGGAGATGAACAAGGACCCTCTTTCACGAACAAAATGAATGAAGGCAGGATCATTGGATTCCATGGCAGAGAGGGTTTATTCCTGGATGCTGTTGGTGTATACGTAATGGAAGGGAAAGTACCACCTCCAAGGCCATCTATTTCCCAAGCAATCATCCAAAGTGAAAGGTCTATAGCTGAGATAGACAATTCTCCATGGTCTAACAAACTGGTACTAGCAGGGAGAGGACCAGTTGAAGAGGTAATTCTTATGTTTTATCCTAACTATGCATCATTATATTCCACAAAGCTGGACAATGAAATATGTATTATTTGGATTAATTGGCTCAGGTTGCTTGTGGTGTGGTAAAAGAACCAGCACCGTGCGGACCTGGTCCCTGGGGCGGGGAGGGAGGGAGACCATGGGACGATGGAGTATTTTCAGGGATTAAGCAAATATTTATCACCAAATCTGAAGCTATTTGCTCAATACAGATCGAGTATGATCGAAATGGACAATCGGTTTGGTCTGTAAAACATGGAGGTCATGGAGGAACCACCACACATCGGGTACTTAACATATTACTAATAACCATATTTAAACTTAGGCTTTTAATTACTGACCATGATCTTGATTTCGCAGGTGAAATTGGATTCCCCGCACGAGGTACTCATTTGCATATCTGGCTATTATGGCCCCATAAACAATGAAGAGAAGGCCAAAGTTGTCAGGTCATTAACATTTTATAGCAGCAGAGGCAAGTATGGTCCATTTGGTGAGGAGATTGGCACATATTTCACTTCAACCACGACAGAAGGGAAGGTGCTGGGATTCCACGGCAGGAGCAGCTCTTACTTGGATGCTATCGGGGTCCATATGCAGCATTGGCTAGGAAATCAAAGAGCCTCAAGGATGTCTCTCTTCAAAATTTTCAGTTGATTGGTGCTTTTCTGGTATAGTAATGAAGATAAAATTGGTACATCAATCGCTATTTTGATTCACATTGGCTCTAGGAATAACTCGCTCAATCCAGTTCCAGGCTTATTCTGGACCTGTTCGTTTGAGGCATTGCTTGTACTCTCTAGTCTGAGTTGATCAGATAAATGATAAGATATGCTAAATGTTTGTCAAATAACTCGAATTTTCCAAAATTATTACTAGAGGTAATTTGATCTAATATATGCATAAACACTAAAACAGAGACCCAAGGAAAAGAAAACACTCAGGGAAGGGAAGGGAACTGCCGGTTTCTAGTACAGAGAAGCTATGGGCCTGTTGGGCTCCAATCATGGCCTCTTCGCTGATGCCTTAAGGCATGATTTCATGGCTTTAAAGTTGAAAGAAAGCCTGTAATCAGCTAGATATGTCTGTGAGGACTGAGGACCAATGAGTCTACTGAAAATGGACCTGGAAAGATACTATTAATTAGTATGCATAAAATTCCTGTCCATATCTACAGGTTGTTCTAGCTGTTTTCCAAAAGAAAAAAACACAGAAACAGACAGACATAATCTTCCGCAATCTTTGCTTTTGTTACATCACCATCTTAATTACAATGAATAGTCTTTAATCATGCATGATTAACAAGCCCTGCAGGAATGTTATGCAGATTAAAGAACAAAGTTAATTATTACCCAACTACAAAACCATTTTTAGACTAAATACTCGTAATCATATCACAGAGATTAATTACATCATTCGATGCGTTTGCCTCTATCATCCAATAACAAATAATTTAAAAAGATTTAATGTAATTTGTCATTGTTTAGATCGATCATGTGCAAATTATGTTATCTGGTCCATATAAAGCCGAGACATCTATACATAACATTTCAAATCAATAATTAGGGAGTACTTGAGGTTTGATATGAACCCAAAGAATATTGTTAGTAAACACAACCGATAATACACAGCTAGGTTGAAGGTGGAACCCATGTAAGATTTCCCAAAGGGGGAGCCACCAACAGATCTCTTTCCACTAGCATTGATAAAATTTTCCATTGAAAGGCACTATATTCGTCATGCATCAATCAACATTGAATACATAAATTTTGGGTCTCTTAATTTCTAAAATGCTTTCAAAATTCCTTTGCTAAATTAAAGAAACAGAGGGTCCCGTTTTGTAAAGAAAGGATAATAAATTAAAGAGGCTTCCAAGTGAATAATTAAGGGCCTTGATGATCAGGCGGTGGTTGCATGGAAGGCATATATAGAGAAAAGCAATGCTTAGGGTCTAGACCCTCTTCTTTTTTCCTTCTTTGAGTGCAAAAATTTGCCACAAAATCTAGAAATCTGGCAAAAATAATTAAGTAAAGAAATGGAACTCCTGACATAGATTGCAAGGTGCCAAAAGCATATTTAACAAGAACGAAGTGGACAATGGACAATGGACAATGCAAAACTCACTGCAAAAATATAATTGCGATTGGGTATACCTAAGTGAATAATTAGAGTGGGTGCCAGATTCCATGGTGTTCCTAAGGAATACTAGCTAGGGATCAAAAACCGTGAAAACGATCAAGGGGTGGACGGGGGGAGGGGGACCCATCTTCTCTAGACAATGATGTGGCAACCATATCATCGGTTATTGTACTATTATCCCCCTTAATAATGGACCAAGATTTTGTGTTAGATTTTATTCCTGTTGGCCTACCCATTTTTTTCATGCAGGAGGCAGCACACCACATTCAGATTTCACATTTTCAGTTAGGGTTTTTATTAGTCTCTTGGCATAGACATGTTATGGACATGTCCAATAAGCTACAAATCTGTACGTTAATGTCATAGAAATGAACAATTTGCAGCCATGTACCTACTTCTCACAGTTTTGCATTAAAAACCAAAACAAAGGGGTACTTTCATTACAATATTGGGGTATGCGTGAATCTCTAAGGGTTTCAGAAAGCAACAATTAATGCCAACTATAAATGAGTTTGGCATAGAGAAAGGCAAAATCATAGATTGTTAGTATCACCCCTTTAAATGTTGGCCCCAATTAGAATTTTCTACAAGCAAAGCTTGCTTGTTTGAGTCATTTATTAGGGATGATAAGGGTGTGATTAATGCACTAGCTAGGTTACATCTTCAACTTGCTTGGCTATGTCTTTAGACATTTATGGTTTTTCCAAGCTAGCACTTTTAACACCGGAGCCACATTAATTAGATTTCATGGTGTGGTAATGAAATTAGGTGTTCATACCAGATCACAATCATACGTTCAAACTGGACCGCCATTGAATGCCTTCGATGTGGTGAGCTATTCAAAGAAATTAAGCAGGCATTTCCCTATTTTCACCTACTAGCTAGCAAATCCATGGTCAAGATACAATGCATGTACATGAATTTTCACTCCCCTTGGAGTACATGCACCTTCTCAATCCTTTCTTGTTGGTTTTAAAAAGAAGGAAATTTATAAGGAGCTTTTGTCATCTCAGTTTTCTTTTGCCAGCAAAGAAGCTCTGCTTTACGCATTCATTCACCTGCTATACTTTGGTGAAAGAAAGGAGAGTTTCAAAGCAAATGATCATGTCAAATTTGAATAGGATACATAAGCACATTTCCAACTGTATGTATATATTTATCCAATCCATTATCGATCCTTATCAATTCCAGCTGCAATTTTTACTAAATATGGTCACATATGGGGTCGCTGTTGCAAATCGCGCATGCTGTACGACAATGGAACCATGGTGGATTTGGATCAAATTGTGGCCCCTCTAAGGTGCTTGATATGCCAGAAGCTTTGCCAATTCCATGGTTAGGTTTGCTTGTGCTATCTAACTCTCTTGCATATGGACATTGCTATCAGCTCCAGTAGTGAATTTTGTCCATATGTACAGATACACTGTTGCAATCCTGCAGTTATACTCCATGGTATCTAACTGCATTTACCAAGAGATATATATATAACCATTTTAAGACAAGCAACAAAATCATATGGTTGGATTTGACATGATTGTATATGTGTACTGCACCTTCTGTTTTCTGTTTGTATTTTCTTTTTTTTTTTTTACGAGTCCGTGATGTGGATTGGGAATTCTAACACTAGGAAAATACGAGCCCTTTTGGCTATCACATCATTCTTGTACTGCAAATGCTTGCTAAAAATAAGAGTGACCTCCTTTAAATGGAAATAGGGGAAAAATGAAGAAGAAAACAAATGAGCTGGCTTCAATCCTCCAGCTCATTCCATTGGAAAAATAGTAATTTTTCAGGTGTTTCTGAGTACAAAATAATTAGAAAGTTTTCACCTAGCTAGCCCTAATTCTCCCTCTTTCCACCAGCATATTAATTTACTACATATAGTGTTAAAATATATAATGGCAGATTTAGTAATTGATATTCTTCAATACTATTATTTAAGGCAAGCTGCTGCCTAAAGAAAGCATAGTAACATATGCATGATGCTTTTATAATATAGATTTTATAGTAATGATAATGAAAACAATTGGGGTTTGAGCTGTAAATAGAAGAAAAGCAAGATTTCTCACTTCTCTCATAATATTCCCATGCACTTTTCTCCTTTTTCTAAAGGCTACCAATGGATCCCTAATCCCCTTAAGTGATCTTCTATGTATGGAGGGAGGGTCGTGACTTTGGTGGAGTACTCAAAATTATGGTCGAGGCTAAGCGACCTTACAAACCGGGGAGAAAAAAAGATGAAAGAATCTAATCTAGAAATAATTGGTGGCAGGTATCGAAAAAGAGGGATGATTTCTCTTCACACGCATATACCATTCAAACAGCAAAAAGAAAAGTGGGTTTGTTTGCTTCTTAATTCCATAGCTTTGTCTGCAAAGTGACAGTTGTGTAGGTCCATTTTCCATCGCCCACTGCCTTGCGTTTCCAAAGAGAGAGAAGGGCTTTTCTCTTTATGATTTGTGGAAAGATGTGGGAATTAACTTAAAAGCAAGACAAGAGGATGATGATGATGATGATGTTATCCTAAAAGATTATCTTTCTGGTTTAATCAGCTGTTTACTATCTGAAAGATGTTCTCCAAAGAGGGCAAAAGCCTTGGAATAAACCTTGGGAGAAGGCTCTCGAGTGTAAACAAGTAAAAGAAACCGACCAGAGGCCAGAATTCCGGTGTGTTTAATTAGAGTTTCATCACTAGGAGAAACATAAACCAAAGTGACAAAAGCAAAGTCATATTATTGCCAAAGAGACAGAATGGAAAATGCCCTAACCTCGCCTTAATCATTGGTCAGTGCCATTGCCACGGAATCAAAGCATTTGGCACAACTCATGCTTCCTGTAAGTGCTATAGCTGTGCACTTGCATGCGCTTATAGCAATTTGTGGGACTAGATTGTAACTTGAAAATGATTGAACTTCCATTATAAATTTTGTTTCTTTTGTTTAAATCAAAATTAAAATATATAAAAGGAGAAATCTATAAGGAATTAAAAAAAAAAAAAGGGGGGGCTTATGGCCATCAAGAAGGAACAACAACTACCATTTGATCATTACCTATAGATTATACCTGAGAGATTCATTTTTCTGGCATATTTAATTTTTCTCTCTCCACATTATTACATAGATTGACATGCTTTTGTCACATACATACATTAAAAATAAATATAAAAAATGGTTTATAAACCATACAAAATACATTCATTGCACGTGCTGGCTGCTAGCAGAACTGATTAACAAAATATACTGGTTATGCAGGAAAAATCCCCCATTTCCAGTTCGTCAGTGGGCCATTTCATGTACCAAAAAAATGCAGCAGTTTTCCATATGATTTTGGCTCACCTTTGAGAGAAATTTTTCCCACGCAAGTACACTGCCAAACTCTTTCTTAATTAATTAAAGTCTATCCATTTTGGTTTGTTGATTGAAACACAGTCAAATTTTGGTCATGGTCAAGAATGATATACTAATAGAGAAATAAAAATTTCAACTAAAAATTGTGCCCCATGATATTAAAAATGATTGGCATAACACTCTCAAACCCACCAAGCATTCCCTCCCCAATCAGGTTTTGTACTTATTCAACCGACACAGATAAATAAATGGTGCTAGCTTTGGATTTTCCTGAGCAAATCTATGTAAAAATGATTACCATATAAATATACATATAGAGAGATAGATAGCCTTTGTTCTTGTATGAACTTATGAAATCTAAGGGCCAAAAAAATGTTTTAATTGATTAACTAGTACATGTACTAGCTAGCATTATTGTTGTCTCTCAAACCCTAGATAAATAATATATATATATATATATTAAGTTATCATTAATACTTATAATACATGCAAGCCAAATCTAGTGAACTCTTGGGTTCCAAAAAAGCCAAAGGGTACTCATAGTCAAGTAAAACCTAATTGAGTTTGGCAGTGCCTATAATAGCTAACAAGTTTGATAATTTCTTCCCTTCTCTTTTCTGGGTTTGAATGTTAGAATTCAATAATGGAATTGAGAATACAATAAACAACAAAGAAAAAAGTGATGGATCGAGCAGAATTTCACATTGGAAAGTTGACAGATGAAGATGCGAGGCCACAAGAAACGAAAAGGGTTGAAGCAGGTATAGCTTTAGTGACATCCATAACTATCAGCTCGTTACAATGAATATTGCATAGATCGTGACGTGTCATCGTTAGGTCTAATCCCATTGTTGGATGACTTTTTGTGGGTGTGGCGTGAAGTTTGCATGCCAGTCTCAAACAATAAATAATTGTAAGTTTGGAAGAAGTACTGCGCCTCCCTAGTCCCTACGCCTCCCTAGTAACAAGAAAATTACTGGAATAACAGGCAAGTATCGTGACTGGTCAATCTTAATTAATTATTAACAAGATTACAAAATATTATCATTACCTAAATCTTAAATAACACGATTACAAATCTAATATATTTCTCGAGACGTTAACGATTTGGCGGATTAACTTACAAAAATTGATGTTTAATGTTTAGTTAATCTTTTGATGTGAATTGAATGGTTGCCTTTTGCAGTACATTTGATTCACTGGAAGACCTCGCTCCTTAATTAGGATGCTGGGGTCTTTGCCAAAACTAGAATGCATCACCAGAAACCCACAGCTGGTTTCTTTTATTGTCATTTTTTCTTCTTCTTTCTTTCTTTAACTTTCCCTCGAAGGCAACAACTTGGTTGAGAGAGTTTTGGGTTTTCTGTAATAGGAGAGAGTATCGTTTTTGTGTATAGCATTGAGGAGGATGTGGAGCAACATAGAGATGTGTGGAATAGCTACAGTCTCCTCTTTTAAGGAAACCAAAGTTGAATTGAGACTGCTGCCCACTGCCCACTTGATAAAAAATGGACTTGACAGCAACCTTTTTTTGTCCCTTAAGACAACATAGAATCTCTTCTTTCAGAGATGAATGAAAGATTGAATCCTTCTAAAAGAATGATCAAATCTTTTATGAAAGATTTTGAGACCTTCACACACACTTTAACTTTTTCCGTTCAAATTTCCATGTGGTGGCTGGTGGCTACCTTCAAAGGGTAATAATATTAACCTTTTTACTCATTTGTGGTACTAACAATTAGGTCCATGTAAGTGACATTATAAAAAAACAAAACAAAAAAAAGGGGGTTTGAAAATTCCGTCCTAATATTTATAATTAACTCCTAGCCTAGTCCACCAAAAAACATATGCAACTTGTCCACATGATTCAACTTGTCCACATGAGTCCTTTTCGTTTCAGTTGTGTCGCTCATGCCATGAAAAGCACAAAAGAATACAGTTAGGTTTGAAGCAAGGATATGAGACATGGGTCGTGACAGACAAGATCCATGCTGCTTGTTCAACTCTTAAGGACATCATCCACTGTGAAATATCAACTCATGTCAAAAAAAAGGAAGAGAGATTGCGCATCTTTCTCCTCATAATAAATCAATCTGTCATGGGTTTTTGGTTTACATTTGATTTGTGCAAGTGACAGATAATACCCCTGCCGTTAGAGATGAAAGCTGTGAAAATTCATGTCATCCTCGCAGGGTGAAAATGGAGTAAATTAAAAGAAAAGATTGACGAAGGACAATTTGGAAATACCATCTTTCCCCCCTCATTTAAAACGTTGATTTGACCAAACAACACGTCTTAAGGTGGGGGAAGCATGCTCCAATCCAAAACGTTGGCCCCCCAAATCGATCAGGGGGTAAATAACAATTCATTCCCCATAGTTCAAACTGTTCACACACTTAACAGATGGTGATGATCATCAAAGTAAACGCGTTTCACTGTCAATGACTTACGACATGGTAATCCCTACATGTTTCCAAGTCCTCGTGGAAGATATGGGTAAAATTCGTCTTCAATTTCAAGGCATATACTCTTCTCTTGTTCCAATCTTTTGATGAACAGATTATTATTATTAGGTTCATTGGAGCCAGCCCCCACATTCGATGCAGAAACAACAAGGAAAATGTAGATAGCTAGCATGGAAATTTGTGCACCTTTGTGAAAACCATAAATATTCTAAACTACTAAAGATTACATTAAAATCTTAGTTTAATATTAGCAGCAACGGTCCAAAAACTAAGCCAAAGGATTTTATTTGAATATTTTGATGAGGCATGCAAAGTCTGCGTGTGATTAAATTATTAAATCTAGCATGGGCCATGCAAGTCAACTTCGAATTTAATTTTTCCCCCCAAGGTAGTACATTATTTTGTTTAGTGGTCCATATTAATTCCAATAATAATATGAGAAAATTAATTCATAGTGACCCCCCCTCCCCTTCCCTCAAGACAGAAAAATCTATCTCACATTTGGCCAAAAACACCACCCAACTCGCTGTTTTTATGCTTTGTTACATATACTATTTATGGGAAAAGGAGTGACGCTAGTGGGAATTTGGGTTAGATTAGTTGAAGTAATTCAGAGGTTATGACAGAATCAAGATTGGGTTTTGGTTCAAATCTGAAAAGAGGGATCATCATCGGGGCAGAGGAGGCTTTGGAAACTTGTACAAGTTTCAGCAAGGGAAGATAAAAATGAAAATGAAGAGTGAGGGAGGGGAAGGACGCAGTCGCACAGCACCCACGTGAAGCTTCCACAGCAGGGGACCCCACGGAGATCCTCCGTATCCAAAATGGACCCCACGTCCATCCGCCCCTCGAAGGGTATGTAAGTAGGGGCCCCAACCCTCTTTCCCCACACGTGTCTCCCCACCCCTTCGCACGTGAATGGCCACGTGTCTCCCGCTCTGCCCCCCACCTCATGCCACCCTTTTGTCTTATAAATTTAGAACCTGTATCTCATATCCTAGACACAGGAAAGAGGATCAGCGACATAATAGTCAGACTTAGACTTGTGTTTCTCCATACACGCAGAAGCCCTTTTTTTTAACTTTCTTTCTCCTCTTGAAGTTCCTCGGTGCCTTCGTTCACTTCTCTTTTGCTTAGTCTTTAGTTTACCCACCATTTTTATCTCTATGCACAACGTGAAAGAGAAAAGAGAGGAATCTGTGCATGTTGATTGTTGGCGTAGTAAATCTTTAAAGTGCTATCCGGGCTTACGTTAACGCTGCCACCCAAGATTTTGTTCCTTTTTCAACGCTCTCCGACGGTGTCCCTCACCCCTTTTTACTACCTTTCTTTTCTTTCTATATATTCATTGTCGTTGCTCCACACACCCTCCAAGCGAAAAGACGATATCCAAAGAAACCATTTCTTGCGCAGCAAAACAAGGGCCCGTGTAAAAGAAAAGACGGCCATTCTTCTTTGATATGGCAACTAAGCTTCTTTTAACGTTTGCTATTTGTAGATTGATTGTTACTGTGGGGTTGACCTTGGACCCCACAGAGCTTCTCCGCCTCGGAGTTGACGGTCACCTCAGCGTTGACCCCTCCGACGTGGAAACGGCTTCCCTCGATTTCGGCTTACTCATCCGAAGTGAGCCGCTCGCCGTCTTGCACCCAGCTTCGGCCCGGGACGTAGCGAAACTTGTCAAAGTTGCCTACGGGTCAAATCACGGGTTCACCGTGTCGGCTAGGGGACATGGGCATTCCATAAACGGACAGGCTCAGACCACGAACGGGGTGGTGATTCAGATGAGTGGGTCGAGAGGGGGCGGGGGGATGGCGTCAGGGAAGCTACCTCGGCCTCGAGTTTGGGCTCGAGAGAGTTACGTGGACGTGTGGGGTGGGGAGCTTTGGATAGATGTGTTGAGGAGTACCCTAGAGTATGGACTCGCACCCAAGTCATGGACCGATTACTTGTACCTCTCTGTTGGTGGGACTTTGTCTAATGCTGGAATTAGTGGCCAAGCTTTCAATCATGGTCCACAAATTAGCAATGTCTACGAGCTTGACGTTGTTACAGGTTCGTTCTTTTTCTAACTTTGCATGCTCGTTTTCTCTTGTCACAGTCCCCTTTTTTTAAAAAAAAATTATATATAACTCCAAAGAGTATAGATTTTCCTAGGTCAAAAGATTTTCTGTTAACGTTTTTCAATGTCTTCTGATGTGGGTTTTGTCTTAATTGTCGACTTCAAAACTTTTTTTTTTTATCATTTTTGGACATGAGTATTATTAAGATAGTTTTGTCTTGACCATCATGTACAGGAGTGTTAGGTACGGCATGCTTCCTTTTTTTTTTCACAGTTTTACTACTACAAGTTTTTTCAAGTTCATCATCGAGGTGCTTATCTGCATTTTGCATGATGGGTTTGGTGAACAGGGAAAGGTCAGCTCTTGACATGCTCAGAAGAACAAAACCCAGAGCTGTTTCAGGCTGTTCTTGGCGGTTTAGGACAATTTGGAATCATCACGAGAGCTAGAATTTCTCTCGAGCCTGCTCCACAAAGGGTATCTCTCTTTTTCCTTTGATCATTACTTGTTTAAAATGGGTTTTGGTTGGGTTTCCAGAGTGGGACATGAAACCTTTTACAATTTCCTAGTATCAGTTATTGTCAAAACCTAAAAAGAAAAGTATCATGACCTAAAGAGTTAAAGGGGGAGGGGGTTTGGGTCCATTTCAGCCTCTTTAACCCCATTCAAACGGCTGTTCTAAAGCTGGCAATGTTGTTGACGTGTCGTTTTTGCCTCCAACGTGGTCTTTCTCTCTCTCATTTCTTGTGGGTTTCCTTGTTTGTTCTCTGTAGGTGAGGTGGATCAGGGTACTGTACTCCAATTTCTCGGCTTTTACCAGGGACCAAGAATACCTCATTTCTCTGCATGGAAAACCAACCAGCCAAAAATTCGACTATATTGAAGGGTTCGTCATTGTAGATGAAGGCCTCATCAACAATTGGAGGTCTTCCTTCTTTTCCCCTCGTAACCCTGTCAAAATTTCCTCCCTCAGGGCTAATGGAGGCGTGCTCTATTGCCTGGAAATCACCAAGAACTACCATGAAACTACCGCTGATACCATCGATCAGGTATATCTTTTACTACAAGCCTCATCCCCTTAATCCATCATCAATGATACTTATTAGTGCAATATTAATCATCACCAATTACCAGTTCTAAGTAATCAATGACTACCGTCTTTGTTTTCTTTTATGACACGTATGCAAGCTGTGTGTTTGAACAACGAGAATCTTCCTTATCAATTCATCTTTGTTTATTTCTTTGAAAAACACACTAACAAGTTGGAAACTAGAACCCCTCTCCTAGTTGGAATAGTTAGAATCTTCTACCAACATCACTGTCCTTCTTTGCATTATTGGTGCACATCCAAAGTCGTTTGGGGTTTCTTTAATTTTTTGTTTAAAGCCTTATATTATCACCTGAGGGGGGATTGCCCCTCCCTTGTCCTAGATTATATGATGGAGATTATTACTCTGTCAAGTAAATATTTAATGAAGTATAGCCTACTTAAAAATGTAATGGAAACATAAGCAAGAAAACATGGAAGATCTTGTGTGATATAGCATCCCCATCTAATACTAAGAATGAACACTACTTTTATGATAGTATATTACATTAAACAATCACTAAATCTAAGCCGTCCATGGTCCACTCACCAAATGATTCTCCTGTAATTAATCTCTCTTTGCCCATTAAAAGAATTGATTGGAATCGAACTTATCCTGACAAAAGCAACTGTTTTGGTTTGGTAGCAGCTTTCCTTTTTTATGGACTTTGATTGCATAATATAATGTTTTTTAAATTATTGACAGCAAAAGTTTTTTATTTTAATTCTGAAGCTTGGGGTTGGTCTGTTTTTGTGCAGGAAGTAGAGTCTTTGTTGAAGAAATTAAACTTTATACCGACATCAGTCTTTACAACTGATCTGCTCTATGTGGATTTCCTAGACCGGGTCCACAAGGCCGAGTTGAAGCTCCGGTCCAAGGGTTTGTGGGAGGTTCCACACCCATGGCTGAACCTTTTTGTCCCCAAATCAAAGATTGCTGACTTCGATAAGGGGGTCTTCAAGGGCATTTTGGGTAATAAAACCAGTGGGCCAATTCTCATCTACCCAATGAACAAAAACAAGTAAGCCTCTCACGCATTGTTATCATTGCTCATGTCCTTTTGTGTGTTTTACACCTAGCATTGCATTTGCATGCATGAAACATGCAAATGTTATCTTCTTATGCATGACCCCATCCCTTCCACCATAGCCACCCTTCCATCTTCTAACTTGTTTTTGACATGTAAAGTCAATACCATGAGTAATTAGTGCATGTCACATAGTTGCTGTATCCATGCATAAATGAATGCACAAGCGATCTCTTAGCTTACGGGATTGATTGGGTAAATAATCAAAGCCTTTGACATGGAGATGATGAGAGTGTCGGCAATAGAATTTCGAGAGAGGTTTGTAGCTTTCCAAAGAGTTTTCCTTGATCACTTGCAAACAGTTATTTTAGAACCTCAAGACCATGTAAAGGAATTACCCATCCATTAATAAAAAGGACAAGAAAAGATTGTCGGCAACTGCAGATTAATTTACAGTGGCCTCGAGTTGATTGATCATATTCAGAATCGGTTCTGAAAAGGAGAGGTTTCTACTTCATTGGGTAGAAGAAGATGGAAAACAAGGGAGGGAGGGGTGGTGAAAAAATCAGGTAGTACCATGAGTCAATCGACTATGGTGGTCCTGACACAAGATCAAGACACATAGCAGTGGATCAGAAAGGAGAACACGTGGGGCAACATGCAGATGCTCCCAACACCAACAGATGAATGTTTTTAGTGATCGAGGCCAGCTAGGATTGATAAACACTTCAGCTATTTTGTTGACCGGAACCCAACAAATCGACGGTAATGATCCTCCAAGTGGGAAGATTCTCGTGTCAGGAGATCTTCTCCCAGGGTCCCACTGATGGGAAGTATCCATGTCTTGTTACAAAGTAGTTCTAGGAACACAGCCGTTAGTACAGGTTAACGACCCATCACCTCCGCTAAGCCTGGGTCGCTTTGATCGGATCAGAGCCATCAAATCTCAACGACCCTTTCCGCACACAAATGCATAACATGTTTTTTGCAAAGCCAAATTGCTGCATTTGCTCTGCGCTGATGCGTTGTCTTTGTGATATGGTGCAGATGGGACCATAGGAGCTCCGTGGTGACGCCCGATGAGGATGTGTTTTACCTGGTGGCATTGCTAAGATCAGCCTTGGATAATGGGGAGCAGACCCGGAGCTTGGAGTACCTTACCGATCAGAACCGTCGGATTCTCAGATTCTGTGATGACGCCGGGATCAAGGTGAAGCAGTATCTACCTCATTACACTACGCAAGAGGAGTGGAAGGACCACTTTGGCGATAAGTGGGATCGGTTCCATCAAATGAAAATGGAATTTGACCCAAGGCACATTTTGGCCTCAGGCCAACAGATTTTCAGACCCACCTTCCCTTCCTCTTCTTCGAATATGGCTTCATGGTGATGACAACTGATACAAAACAAAAACTAGTAACGACATTAACGTACTAGTGACTTTTGGAATATTCATGTTCTTGTTGTACATAAAAATGGGCATATGGGCTAAGGGACAAGAAGGGAAATGGATGATTCTCGGTTAACCCATACTGGCAAGAGGGTTGGATTGGACTGGGGAGGCTTAGGTGTTGTGATTAGGAAGGAAGGGTGTATTTGCCCGCTGTGGTGCAGTTTGAGGAGTTGTTTTCTGTGGGGAAGAACTGATACCAGACGGTGGAAAGAGGAGGATTGATTTGGGAGGAGGTGGGGGGGCCTATGATCTTGCAGTGCACATGTGATGTTATAGTAATTGCAGTGCTCGTGATCCGGACCGCCCCAACTGATTGCCTTGTGGATCTTGTCTGCCGTTTCTTGGCACAGCTGGTTCCAGTTCCATCCAGCGTGGATTGGCGATTTGCTGTTTTTACCCCTTTTTTTTTGGACATGTAATTATCGTAAGTAGTAGTTTGTAAAAAAAAATGCACGTTGATTAGTTTCAGATGACATAGACTACAGAGTAGAAGATCTGCAAGCATCTTTGTTTTGGGATATCCCATGTTTTTCCTATACTTGCAGGATTCACTTTGATTACGAAGTCTTTGTCGCCTTCCCAGGGGCACTCGCAAATAAGACAGGATCGGCAACATCATATCAGGGCCAAAAGAAAAAAAGAAAACAAAACAAGAAACTTTTATGCAGTAAGGCGTAGGACATGACATGATAGAAACGTGCCCTGAATCCTTTCCCTATGATGACTATAGGCTGTTAACTTGCCTTTCTGAAGTGACACTGTCATAGTTATTTTTCCCTCCGCCCTCTTCCATTTTCACCCCAAGAAAGCAAAGAAATAGAATGGAAAAATGAACAATAAAGTGGAAGGAAACAGACTTACTGATAGATTTAAAGGGCGAAAAAGAATCTGCAGTCGAAACCCGTTTGTCCTGGTTACATACAACTTATGCAAGTGGTGAACAATATGGAGGTCCAACTATTAACATCAGAAAAATCACAAGTAATATTGTAGTTCAGATATGATATACTTAGTGACTTGTCATGGTTAAAAACTTGGGCAAATTGATAGTACTTTATCTAAAATTACTGCCCCATAAATCTGATATGGCCTACTCTCCCCATCAAATGTCTGACTCAAAAGTACTTGTTTAACTTTTGCTCTAACTAAAGCACCCCCCGGACATAAAAAAATGGGGTTAAAAGGAAAAATAGCCTAGCATAAATTTCCCTGTTCAAGCAAAAGTAGTTATAAAGGTTAAAAGTGGTGACCGGTGTTCTTTAACTTATGCCTTTTCAAGTTATCAAATTCGGAACCTTCTTACTAGCACAGAGTTATAAGATGCTAGCGCTTATTGTCACTCGCAGCATGGCATTAATTCGAATCCTCTGCCTCACTTTTCTTTCCAAACTTTCTCAAGGCAAGTGAATATATCATTTTCTTTTTCATTGATGTTCCTTGAGCCACCAATTTGACTGCCTGCGATGCACATCATATGCAATTGTTAAAGATTAACTTCCTGAGAATTTCAGATCAGGCCTCTGCAAGATATAAATTTGTACATTAATAAACTTAAAATTGATGACTTATAAATGCAGTGAAAAATCATTACCGAAGAAAGACTATGACCACTGGAGATCAATTCTCTCAGCTCCGTTTCTAACTGACACTCTGATGGAGTTTCTACACTGCAATTTGCATTGCCTTCAATCAAGAGTGTAATTTCTCCCTTTGGCTGGTGAGTTGAAAAAACTTCTTTTGCTTTCCCCAAAGTGCCCCTCCAAAACTGCAAGAATTAATCATTTTCATTACTAAATCAAGGATTTTATAAAGAAAAATCCACAAAGTAAATCAAGGTCAAACTGGTTAATAGATTTAGCACAAATAAAATTTCCTGTCATCCAAAAGAGTTAGCTTAAAAAAAAAATTGGCATGTCTATTGAACTACTACGTAAGTGCTTTCATTGTATTTCCTTAAAATAAGATCTTCAAATCATTGCAGCTGCATGATGGTGAAATGACATAAATATTACATCAAGTGGCAATGAGTCGTGAGGTAATGGACTGATCTCAACCAATAGGGTTCAAGTGCTAGACTTCTAGGTCAAACCACCAAAAGTACGGCTGCGTATGAGGCCAATAACAGAATGAATGCTTAGCTGTTAAACTAAACAGGGTCTGCAAAAGAGGCACTTCATATATCAAAAAAATGATCTTGCAATGAGGATGTTTTCTACAGCCCATACAAAGCCATTCTCTAGCTAGCTAGCTCCTTCTGTTTTTTGATGTTGGCATCCTTGCTCATACTATCATAAATAAACTGTTTTCTTCTCTTCTTTCTAAATGTTGCACAAATAAAAGCAGAGGTCGAAACGGATAGTTACAACCCAAAAAATTGGACAGTCCCAAGCACATAGGACCATGAAGCACTGAATTACAAAGTTGAGGTACAAACAGACAGACGCTAAACAGCTGCATAGCACTCACAAAATTCTTCCAATTTACTTCCATAAACAAAAGTCACCTGGAAATATTTATGCAGACAATTTCATTCATAACCACATATAAGATGTTTTGAAACTAGGAAGTTATGCGTCAACTCATTTAGGAGCAAGAACAGTTGCATTTCTTTTCTACCTTAGATAGAGTTCTGTAGACTACAAACAGTAAAGACACACCAATGACCCTTTATATTTTTTCCTTTCGCCTTCCATGCAAGCCTAGTTGTAAAGTATCAGACAAATATTGCAAACAAGAGGAATCCCAATGTGGGGTGAAGAACACAACAGAATAGAAGCTTGAACTGAATGGAAAGAACAACATTGAAGGAAAAACTCTATTCTCAAAAACCAAAATTTTTCAATTCTTAAACTCATATTCAACATTCAATCATCAGAAAGTACTTCAATAGTCCAAATACCTGAGTATATGGGCTTGAAAAAGCCCTATAACATAAGGTCACATGACATAAGGTCCAAATAAAATGATGCTAGCCCAATAAAGCCCAACATAAATACGGTCCAAATTCTGATCAAGAAAAAAAAGGTCCAAACAGAAAAAAGTAAGCCGCATAAGAGTAAGCCCTATTCTTAAAGTTTTCGCCTAAAGCAGGTCCACCTAAAACAGTTAGGCAATGGTCATCTTCTGGTTTTGGATGATGAGGTCCACAAGAAAGTGATAAAAGGCATAACATGCTCATTGATTGAAGCTATAAACATTAACAATTTAGTTATTGAAAGACTAAAAAGAAGAAGAGGCTATGTTATTATTTGAACCATTGAGGCCATTAAGTTTACAGACACATATATGCTAGCAACAATAAAATCAAATCTCGCAAATTCTTGACAAAGCAGCATAAAAAGATAACGAGAAACACAATATAAACCTACCTCTTCATGTATTTTTGTAAGTTCCCGAGCTATAACACACCATCTGCAATGAAAATAAAAAAACCGTCATAATAAACCCTAAAGAGTCATCTGTTATTTCTACTGAACACTGACTTTAAAGATTCCAATGAATGCAACTGAGAAAGTTTTATAAAAGCCTGAAAGATAACTAACTGAAGCAAGGACAAAGCACATAATGTCAAACAAGCGAGCAAGGCTCACGCACTTAAAGATGACAGAAACTTGCCCAACCAATTATAGTGAACCAGAATTTTTCACCACTCTAACTAGAATGCCTAGGGAACTGCTAATGGGGATTACTGATATTAATTTGATAATGGATTAGTATAAAACTACAGCAAGTTAAGTAACAAGCTTTACATAATTAGGGAACCCTTAATTTGTTTTTCACCTTATACACAACCTATATTTCTCAGCAATGCAAATACATTCAAACATGAATACCTGCCATAAAATTAGAAAGAGGATACTGCTGGCTCAAGCATATTTCTCCTCCTCATAGTAAAATAATAAACCATACAATCCATCTTGTCATACCGAGTCCCTTCACCAAAAATGAATAGCTCTTTCAAGCCTTCCTCTGACTCCTAACATTTAATACTAAATTAAACATAGCTAATGGAAGATATGCAGATACATTGTTCACCTTGAGTCACCAAAAATTGGGGAACTTTCTTCAAGAAACTGACAAAGCTTGTGAGGAGGAACATAGAATATTTGTGTTGTTGTTTCACTCGCAGAAGCCATCAGCCTCTCCTTCCGTGAACCAGTATGTTTTGGAAGAAATCCAACTGCAACATTGTACCCGATATCAGTCATAATTTCCACACATTCACAGAAGCATGCTCTACCACAATATTTCACAAAAAAATTACCAAATGTAAACTCATCAGTGGACAACCCTGAGGCAGAAAGAGCAGTTAAGAAGGCAGAGGGTCCAGGAATTGGAATCACAGGAATGTTTTCATCCACACATAACTTTGCCTACACCGAGAATCCAACCATCAGCCGGTACATTCTTCATCAAAGACCAAAGATAAACAAATAATACATCTAAAACTCGTATCAGCAAACATTCTACGGAATTCAGCCAAGCAGGATGCAAATGCTCACCAGTTCGGTACCAGGATCGCTAATGCCTGGCATTCCCGCGTCGCTGATCAATGCTATGATCTCACCTCGCTTTAACCTCTTTAGAGCCGTTTGTTCTCTTTGAGATTCATTAAATTTGTGATAACTTAGCTGGAATCTAAAATCCGCACAATCAGCAATTGAAAAATAAAAAAAAAAATGAAAGGCATCAAAGCGACAACAGAAAATGGCTTAAACTCACTTACGAGAGGAGTTTTGATGCCGTAATAGTGAAGTAACTTGCCGGAATGCCGCGTGTCCTCCGAGAGTATGACGTCAGCTGATTTCAAGACCCGAAGAGCACTGCGTTGATGAAATTACCAATAATTTTTTTGCTTAAAATATAAAGAAAAAAAATGAAAGAAGAGGAATAATTACCGTAAAGTGATATCTTCAAGGTTTCCAATCGGTGTTCCAACAAGATAGAGTCCAGGCTTCAGAGGTCCCTGCCACCGCAATAACGAAAAAACTGCGTTACATTATTTTCCTCATAAAGTTCAAAAGGAGTAGAAAAAGGGAAAAGAATGGAGGTTTTACGCGTTTGGACGCTTGTTCGTTGATGAAGTCGGTGAATTCTGATGAACTTTGGGAGGTCGAGCTAAAGGAAAGGAGGCAAAGTTTGGGGTAAAAGGAGAGAGAATTGACGAATTTGAGGCCGGATTGAGTAGAGAAGAAGTAAGGAGACGTACGACGGCGCGAAAGAGCCGTCGTTGTGAAGGAAACGGCGGTTGAAGGCAGTCGTCGCAGCAGCATTTTCACTTTCAGCTTTTCGGTTTTCAGTGAGAACAGGAGAAGACCAATTGTTTAAGGTTGCCGACTCTTAAGTCGATCGTGTTCTGAAACGGCGCCGGTTTGAAATTAGCCCAACTCAGCCCTGTTCTGAACTAAATCCAAGCCCAACTCAGCCCTTGAACCGTTTGCCCACTCCCTCACTGTCCATAAGACCATTGCCATTGTCCCTTAAATTAAATTATAGTTAAAGTCTTTTTTTTTCCCAAAATCGTTTTCTTTTCTTCCTTTTCGACCATTCCTTAAATTTTCTGATTTATTACTAATTTTCACTCAAATTTAGTTAATTAAAACCAAAAAAAAAGAAATAAAATCCTCTTCTCAACCATCCAATGGGTGATTAAGAAAAAGGGCAACCAAGATTTTAGGAACAAACATTTTCCTTAGATAGAACTTTCAGAATTCTCAACAGTTAAGAATAAGCCAAGATAAAGAGATGCATGCGGCTATTGGCTTAAACTATCCAAACTCCATCCCAACTTAGCACTTCGCAGTGCCATGAGTCAGATGATTCACTCTCCAGTTGGCATAAGTTAGCCTTATATATAGGTAAACCATCAACCTGCAACGAGGTGTATTGTCCTCCCACGCTGTCCCACTACAGTGAATCAGTGGGTGTATAACATGACTAAAAGAAGAAAAGATTAATATTAACTACTCGGCTGCTTGGAGGAGGCAACCACATTCAAATTAAATCTACGTTTAATTCATAATTTCATACACAGCAAGAGAAATGTATAAGGTTACCACGGCAATTATGGAGGGTCCATCCTCCCTTTGCCATTTTCCCTGATAAAACCCTCGGTTTTATACACAGATTATAGATAACAGGTTTATATCATTACACTTTATCGTCATGGAACCACCATCTAGTCTCCTTGGGAGACCTGCCATTCCGACAGTTCTTAACGTATCGATCATTATCAGCTGGCCGTTGCTGCATAATGACAAAGTAAATTCAGTATTCCAGCTTTGACTGGAAAAAGACCAGATCTGGGATAACATAAACAAATGGTCAAAACGTGTAACAGTTCCAACAGACCTTCACGGTTGAGCTTGATAACATGGAAAGAATGCTGATACAGATGGAACTGACAGTCATGGCTGGGGACCAGGAATCATACAGAATATCTGCAAAATATGAACAAAATGTTATATGTTGGTTTCTTAGATAATTGCCACATGCATATGACAAGGAAAGGTCCAATATCGACATTAATAACCAAGCAGTCTTTCTTGTTTTTCTTCATTATCCAAGAACTTAGTATGCCTAACTGTTTTACATTAAGTCTCTATATTTGTCTAAGATGCATACCAGAAAAATAGCAGAATGACATATAATTATCAAACAGATCTGCATTAAAGTGTAATGGATCATGCTATCCTGGTATGCTAGCCACCAAATGACATAATCATGGGAGCATCAGAAACTTGACTAAATGAATACTCACATGCATATGAAGCACAAACACCAAGGACACATTCTCAAATAAAATATTAATTGATGCATAAAACAAGCCATAACAGATTTCTTGAAGGCCAGGGAGGCTTACAATTAAAGCAAATATCTAAAGAAAAAATAGTTGGAAACAAAACGCCATATCCAACATCTACATGAAACAGACCTAATGATCAACACCTCGAGGATCATATCTAGAGCCCACAAACACAGAAGACATACTTTCAGGACTAACCAAATTTTACTTGCTTGTGTGATACATCCAACATTCTTGAGAGTGAAGACTCACTCATGACTGAAATGAGTAAAGTGCTCCAAACAAGCATTTTACAAATTTTACTAACAATTTGACACTCGAAATGTAAACTATGACCAACCTCTCTTAGACATCTTCCTTTCCATATTTTTCTACAAATAGTTCCATTATATGATTTAAGAAAAATAAATTCCCTTTAACAACCAGTAATGTACTAGACTAGAGCAACTCCAAGAATAGGACAGCAACAGAAAATTTCATTACCTCTCCACTCACCTCTGAAAGTAGAACAAGGGAGAATTATCACTTAAAAAGTATTCAGCACCACAATCAAATTGATGGTTTTTATTGCATCTTTATATACTCACGGCTTGAGTAACAGGAATGACGAAAATGACAACAACAAAGGAAAAGTGTATCGTTCCAAAGCATAAATAATTGGCTCAAGAACTACTTTCAACAATGTATAAAAGTTGCTATACCCATCATATAGCATACCACAATTTACGTCCAACAAAAGCATTAACATACATCATTGACAAATTAGAGGACCTTCCACTTGTGCAGTATGCTATTTCTTAAAATCTATCACCAGAATCAGAATTATCTTTAACAGAATTACATGACTGCACTCTCTCAAGAAAGATGAGAGGAAACTCAAAAGAGCTACATCAAAAAGAACCACTACATTTATGATTACAAATAATCATTATCAAGGCCATTGAACTTCACAAATCATCATTCTCTATCAACCGTAAACATCATACAAACTTCAAGCAATATGATTAAAAAACTAGATGTTTAAAACAACTATAGTTAGCAACAAGGGAAACAAGAAGTTAACAAATCATGCTGATTAAAAAGAGAATTAACACCAGCCAATACCTAAACAAATATGTCCATTGCTATAAATGTGAGGATGCAGCGGAGCCGGAGGGACAAAAATCACCTGCTCAATCAACAAAAGAATACCATAATATTCATTCAATTGTTATTTATCTTTTCACTTTCACTACTTACTCAGTACGAAAACAATCTAAAATGACAAAAAGGAAAGAGAAGGGGTACCTGGGGTGCCTCCATAGGGTAATGCTCGGGAAAATCAACCTGTAGTTGATAAGTTTCATTGGCATAAAGCGTTCCAGGGGCTCCGTTGACTTCGATTATCCATCTTTTGACAAAAAATCAAACAAATTAAAGACCGAAAACCCAAATTAATCCCCCGATTAAAAGTTTAACTCTCCCGAAAAATTGAAAGAAATTGATTAAAAGAGTAAAAGAAAAATGAACCTTTGGAGATTATCAGTAACTTTGTGCTTGAACCCAGCTGGTGGATTAACCTGCCACTCCACAAGCTCCTTCTGGAGTCTATTACATGCGATCTTGCTTAAAGCCTACGCAAAAACATATCCCCCCAAATAATAAAAAGTCAAAAACATCAAACAAATAGAAAAACAACAAAGAAAAGAAAATCTGCCAGACGCAACCGACACTAGGGATAATAAATAACGTAAATAAATATAGAAAAGAAAAAAAGGAAATATCGAAACCTTGCGTGAATGAGCGGAGGAGCTTGTCATGGCTTCCGCAGGAGAGAGCGAGAGAGAGAGAGAGAGACGATACCGTCCGGTCTCTTTCTTTTTTATACCGACAGCGCACTTCGGGAAGGGCAAAGATATGTACGATTACACTACTTTCTTTTTGACGAGAAATGCGAATTATGATTGGTCGAGAATTTGGTAGAGAGAGAAACAGTGTGAACTAAATCGGACGATCGAGAAAATCTTTCGCTTCCGTGGCGAGATTACGGAGATTTGAGATATTGGCACACTCCGATTTTTCCACGTGGAATAGGACAATTTGCCTTTGGAGTTGTTCCAATCATGTTGACTATTTTCATTTTTGGTCGGGTGGGGAGAATAAGAGTCGGTAAGGTTACTTACATTGCAATCTGTAATTTTGTTCAATGTACGACTAATAATAAAAAACAATTATTAATAAAAAAAAAGAAAGAGAATATTTGTCGCCTAAACCATATTTAATTATCATCCCATGATTTCGATTCGGACCGACTGCCGACATCGGATTCACCAACAAGACATGCCACCTATCACCGGATAATCTCACCCGTCATTAAGATGCAGTTATATTTTTTATTAATTTTAAAAATTTATTTGATTTAAAATAAAATTTTGAAGATTTATTTGAATAATTATTTATAATTTAAAGGGTTTTCTTTTTGATTAAGTCTATTTCTTTTTATTAATTGGGAAACAAAATCTTGAGGGATATGGACATTGAACAAGTAGATGGATGAGGGTCGCCATCAAAATTGAAGTTCACAAAGTCGTTTAATTTTTCTCATGGATTTTCACAGCGGCAGAGGGCGGGGGGCAGGCTGGACTCTAGTGAATAGGACTAAACAGTACCATACATGAATGTGAGTTGTTTGCCTGTTCATTTCAATCAAACTTTCCTTCAGTAAAAAAGAAAAATTTTCTTTCTCTTTTACAACAAAAATGGCTTAAACACATCAAATTCAACTGCCAAAACTGATTTCCATGTCGTGCCATGAGGAAGTTATGAGAGCTAGCTTCCAATATTAAGCTTCAAAATGGATTGGAGACTTGAATTTTTGAGCCTAATTAGTTTTCAATCAAATCCTGGAAGAGCATTGTACAATCTGATTAGTCTAATAACCTTGGGTACAAAAACGAAAGGTTTAAGGAGCATAGATTAATATCTGTCTAAAGTGATCTGTGCTACTCCTTCAATCCTCAGCTTGATCTGTTGCAATGCCTTCCCTGCCCATGGAACAGCTAGCTAATGATGGATCAGAGTCTTGAGGAGAGTCTGCAAACTCTTCTTTGTACATTTCTTCTATCATAGGCTTCCAAAGTCGAACTCGAGCATTTATAAACCAGTTTGATACCTGAATTAACAGTAATTAGACTCAGTTTTACATAAACAAAAGCATCAACTGAGCGTACACAAATAGATGATTCGTGGGTAAGTTGAATCTTGTTAAAAGGAATTACTTGATTCTTGGTCAGGCCTGTCTGTGATGCCAACATCAGCTTCTCGGAGTCTGTTGGATAACTGACAAGAACCATGAAACAAATGTCAAGAATTGTGCTATGAAAAATCAATGCAGGGCGTGATTATACTTAGCTGCACTTACGGGTGAAGAAAGTGTTCGAAAAGCCAAGACCGAAGGATTGCTACAGAGGTCTCTGGCAATCCTCTAATAGGCCTCCAAGCTTGCCTTTGACTTGGGATCATTCCAAGCTGTTGAAGAGATAGTCGGTTCTGTCTAGAATCTCTATCAAACAGGCTAAGTTGAGATAACCCCCTGTTGATTTTCGGTAAATCGTGTGAAAACTTTCTCCTGATGACATTTATTTGAGATATTATGGCATCTCTTAGACTGCCAAAATGCCTGGACATCGCTTGGAGTGCCAAAGCAGTATAAGTCTTTGCTGATCCTACACCGGCTAGCGCTTCAAATGATGAAACCACTTCTTCCATTTGCTGGTAGTATTTCTCGTATCTGATCTCAACCTGAAAATGAAACAATAATGACGTTATGAAGTACGCAATCAAGTCAAAAAATAGTAACTAACACGACAAGGTATCCAACAGGGTCATGCTAACCTCCTCCAGCAATCCAATGAGCTTTGCAAGTCTAATCT